AATGGCCATAGCTGCCGCGGTCTTTTTGTTCTTTTAATAAAAAAAAAAAAAAAAAAATAAATTATTAATTAAATAAAATGTGTTTTGTTACTGAATTCAATACATATTAATTCATTTTATTTCAATTTACCAAACTTAATTCATAATTTGTAATAATAAAAATTACCACTGACATAAAATTTGAAATTCAATAAATTATACTAACTACAATTTTCAAAATACTTAAATTCTATTAACGAAAGGCATAAGATTATTTAGTATTAAAGTATCTAACGTCATGTGGAAAATCTCCGATAAAAGCTTAGGTGATTATTAAATTGTATATATGTATATACATATACCCACCTAAAATAGATAGAAATTTGGAAATTGACATAACCTAATTTTTTTAAATTTTAAGGAAAAATGAATAAAAATGAGAAAATCATTCTCGAGGACTTAATATCTAATCGAAATAAATAAATCAATCAGTACGTTAGAAATAAAACACATCTTCATTAATATACGTGTGATGCACAGAGACAAAAAATTACAAATCTTATCTCCTTAATGAGTACTGGTATTGTGAATATCTAATAAGTCTTATATTTTACACTGTACACATTAAATATAATTAATTAACAACATATTGTTCGAGGTATTATTGTTACATTAAAAAGATTTATACTATGGATTCAATACAATTTTGTTCAATGTATTAGGTAATTAATTCTTAGTAGTTCAATAATCTCTATTAAAGCTGGAATGGTAAGATTCGCTAGAGCAAAATACTTCGATCTCAAATACAATTTTTTTTTTAATTTAAAAATACGAATTAATATTAGTCTATTGTTTATTATATGCTTAATATAAACATTTTAGTCAAATATTTTGAAATCAAAGATATGTACTAAGTTATATATTTGAAAAATTAACTGTACAATAACGACAGTTGGTAAACAATGGAGTAACAATATTTTGAATAAAATTTTAAATAATTTTTTTGTTTAGTAAAATTATTTTTAATAACAGATAATAAACGCATAATGGGAAAAATGTAACTTATTCAATATTTCTCTAATAACTTTGTTCATAGTTTGAACACAGTTCATATGAACTTCACAAAAGGTGAATAATATGTGGATGCACCTACTCAAAATCAAGAATCGATAAATCGTACTTTCATTTTAGTAATTTTCAAATATCAATTTTTAATTTTACTTTATACATTATTATCATTACAATTTGTTGTTTTTTAAGAAGTAATTATTTTTTTCTTTAAAAGTCTATTAATTTTAATCTTATTCTTACACCACGATTAGGTTTAAAATTAATAATTTTATAAGTTATTTTAAAATAACTTTTAATAGAATTTCTAAATAAAATTAAATAACAGACCACTTCGTTCAACGTTTAAATATATTAAACTATTGATATATACATTATACTTTAAAAAGAAAAAAATTCATCAAATTCATGTGCATAGTTTTCAAGATAAGTGACAGTTAATAGTGGAAAAAGCAAACACTCAACACTTCGTAAACCATAATCTTTTTTAAATAAAGGTAGCTCTTCTATAAGAACATTGTGTTTTTAAGTCATAATACCATATTCAAATTTAAATAATAATAATTCATCACAATTATACATTGAAGTAAATGAAGCGAGACATGTGTCCATTATCAAATTGAAGCCTACCTTTTTTTCATCTTCATATTACACTAGAACCATATACGTAAACTGGGGGGGGAGCAAGAGATGGGCGATTGCCCCTAAAATAAATTAGGAAGGACAGTAGCCCCTCTGATACTTAACATACCTTGTTTTAAAATAAGTACAAAATAGCTGGTTATAGTTATTACTATAACATTTTTTTTTTTTAAATCTTAATTTTAAATTTTCGCTTACCTAACATAATGTTAGAAAATGAATAATTGTATAAAGTAATATGTAGGTATTAAATCAGCGTTTAGCCTCGGACAACCTTTTCGTTAGATATGTAATTATATTTTTGCCCCCCCCCCCTAATAAATTTCAAAGTTACGCCTATGACTAGAGTGAACCAAAGAAACAATTGATTTTACAATGATATGTATGTTTTTTCAAGATTTTTTTTATACATTAACGCTTTTTCGAATAAAATGAGAACTCCAAATATTCCCATATAGCTTCTACATCTATTGGAAATTGGACACAGATAATACTATTAACTGGTTACTTTTGGAATTTATTAGTAATTCTTGTAAAAATTGTCACAAAATTGCCAAAAAACACGTTATACAAAAGAAAATTTGACAAAATAATTGACAAACTTAATCATTTTAATCATTGATTTTTATTAATTTAGTTTTAACTCACTTAAACCTATCTAAAGACTAATAGTATTTAATATAGTGTTTATATTAATATAAAATAATCTACAATGTAAATATATCGAGGTAAATGTGTTTTGAAAAAATCTCATAAATCGTTATTCAGCTGTTAACATGTATTCTATACTAAAAATGTTATCCAAAAATTTTCATACTGTTAAAAAGCTTCCCACTCAACTAAAATATAAATGTAAAAACAATCAAATCACCCCAAGTATTAGTAAAATTTGAGGTATAAAAAATACACACAATCAAAACATACAAACCATTCTAAAGAGAATAATTATAGCAAAGTAATAAGATTTCTATCAACCCCAATAAAATCGCTGACTCATAGCTAATTAAAATTAGTGAACCATCAATAACATACAAAATTGTAAATAATTAAGTGATTATAATTAATATCATAACTTAACATTTTTATGGAGATGTATCTTAATTTATTAATTTCATTTATTAAACAATTTATTCTTTAAAAAAACTGTAATTATTTACATATTTTAGTAAGTATATGGCCATGATATTAAAAATGTAATAAAATTTCACACAAAATGTATTATACCCATTAGTCATACAAAGTACATACGACTCATTTATATTTTTATTCGCGAAAATAAGTCTGATGAGCATCATACAATTCTCAATAATTTGGAAAATTCGATAAACATGAAATTAAACGGCAATTTGACCTACATTTTTTTGATAATACTTAATAATTACATCATTTACACCCAGTTAACCTTGCACACGATTTTTAAATCACACCATAGATGACCAATATAATAATTACAATAACAAAAACAGACTTCTAAATAAAAATAAATACTTAAATATTAATAAAAAAATTTATTTTAATAAGACTTTAATAAGACGTACATGCGTCACATCAAAATTAAGGAATATAAAAACTAATATAACTAATAACTAGGGAAATCAGAATAAAAATAAAGTTATAGGTACTAAAAGATATAGAAGTTGATAAACTATTTCATATAGTAAATAATAAGTATTATGATTAATACTAATAATAATATTGAATAATAATAATCACTGAAATATGGATTGAAAACATACATATAGCTCATATTCGACAATAATAGCGACAAATCAAAAATATATACTTCGCGACTACGTAATTAATGAAAAAACAATTTATAAAATTCTATTAAATAAATAGACATAATGGATTCGAGCAATAAATATATATAAATATTGATTAATTACGAAATATACGTACTCGTATATTTATATGTTTATATAACTAGTTCAGTTTATAAGAATACAAATGAACTATTCTTTGTAATTTAGAAATTAAAATTCAACAGAAAAAATTTGAAAAATTAGAATAAGTAGAATAACTTCAAATCCAAGATAATACGCATTTAGTTAATACCCGCGTAAATACTATTAGACGCCTATCTATAATTATTATAAAGCTTTTTTTTATAAAATAAGAAAATACTTTTCAAAATTATAATTAGAGTAAATATTTTTATAATTTTGTTTAATGAGTTATACATTGAAATTAAGCATGATGAAGTGTCACATCGTCACACGATGAATACATGATAAAGCTACTTTATTAAATTTGATTTACAGGGTGCATTGAGCATATACAACAGGATTTTTTATACTATTACGCCATACGTATACAAGAATCAGTTGCAAAATTCTATTAATAGGGTAAACGTATATAAAAAACGACTGATTAAATATCATGAAGAAATATATACTATTTTTTTTTTTTAATAACAAATAAAAAACTAACCAAAAGATACTTGAAAGTTTTAATGTATATTTTCAAACAGATATTTGATTAGAAATTAAGCGTTTGAATAAAATAACCAATAGATTGATAGTTAAGTATACATAATTGTAATGTACGACTATCAATGCAGCACAATTTTTCGTAGTCCATTTTCATATAATACATCATTATTATGTTTTATTAAACAATAAGTTTTTTATAATAATTATTGTTATCTAAATCGTATGTTTTAATCGGTTCTATTTTACAAATCTAAAACTCTAAGATAATTAAAATGCAAAAAGTAAATCGGGAAATCAAGGGCCTCTACACGAACCTGTTCAGTGGAGCCCATAATATTTTCGATGAAATAAATGATACTAACAATAATATTATTGGATTTATGTTCAACAATACTTAAAAACCACTAAATTAATACTTGTTAATTATTGTAAATACTGACGAGATGATTCAGGGACTTCAATACGAAGAAACCGTGGTTACAATCTCTGTCCACGGATTCTCTCACCATTATCGCCTACCCATAAATATTAAACACCGATCGGTGGGATAATTTATAAAACTAATTGTTGTATCATTTGCTTGGTACCAAACAGAGACGATTGTTAAACCTACTGTAATAGTTACCCTTCAATATCCAGTCGTAGCGTATGATCCGAGACCAACTACCCCTGCTCGGACGACAAACCGAACGTAAGCCGTTGTGTTCTAAGACCAAATAAATAAATACCGGGGATAAATCCTGTCCGGATTCTAACAATGCTTTACGCGGGGCCTAAGTGAATTTCAAAGGGAGGGGGGGAATAAAGGAAAAATCGCGGTGGTCGCAGCGCAACGACTACACGCCGCATAAAACGATTGATAACAAAACGGGCCATTACCTCGTCCGGCCTGGGGTACAAATGATTGCAATGCCTCTGCACGAACATGCCGGCGGTCAGTTGGACGACCGACACCAGGAACGCCAAACAAACGGTTTTCCACTTCACCTTGACCGGCATGGCTGTCGTGTGTGGGATACGCACGAGAGAAGTTAAACGGCGCGCGAGAAAACCATCGGACTACTAGGCGCCTTTGACGGATGGTGGTGGTCTAACGCGGTATAGCACGGAGACGGGCTCGACGCGACACGCCGAGAAGAACGACCGAAACGGATCGGTTGGAACAGCGACCGCACGACACCGACAACTGATAACACACTAAACCGTATACGGACGGAATACGTGCCGGGACGCGTCGAACGTGCACGCTCGGTCGGCGGCGCCGTCGGTGACGGTAGTGCTGGCGGTGGTGGTGGCGACCATGGTAGAAGTGGTGGTGGCGGCGAGCGGTAGGGCGTGAAGTGCGTGACGAAATCGCGCGCGCCAGACACCCGTTCGCGCGTACAACTTAGGACCGGACGTCGTCGTCAATATTGTGTCGTTCACGTGATAACGGGTCGATTCGATAACGACATTGTATTAGTCATAAAAATAATAATAACACCAAGTGATAAAAATAATTTTTTTCCCGTTCCTGCGTCGCGTTTTCCAACCGTTACGCATCACTTATCCGGCACTCGGACGGGACTGCTATGGATTTTGACAGCCCGGACGTCGAGAAAGACTTTCCCGGCCTGTACGCGTCCACAGAAATCGGACACAAAGATTCTGACGGTCAGTGGACGGTGTGGGCCACCACCCCGCCCGCGATTCGTTTCGTGGACGGGCAATGGCTATGGTTGGATTGTTGTCGTTTAGTGGAATGATTCTGTTTTCTTTTGTCCACAGGCAAACGCAAAGAGAAAAAAGATCGGGGATATGCTGCTTTGGAAGGTGAAAGTTCTCCGGAAGAAGAGCCTGATGCCAAGTAAGCATAGGTTTTGATTCTGATAAAACTTTGTTGGAGAAACCACTATGTCACAATGTGATATTAGCGCATATTGTTGTAATTATTCTATTCGGAAAATAATTGTAATGCTTATGGTATATAATTCCTAGTACACTATCAAAGTCTTGTTGAGTTATATTTAATTACTTAACAATATTTTTAAATTGTATGTTTAGTCTTTATATTTATAAATATTAATCACATTTCAAGATATATAACAATGGCACTTATACGTGTTTACTTTTTAAATATAACAATTTGTTATTTATTAGTTCAGGAAAATAATATATTTTGAAAGATTACTAATTAAAAGTTAGCATAATAGAATAAGACATATATTATTATTAAAATATTTTAGATTTATATTATATTTTTATACAAAATAGTAACCAATCAATGTTTAAGTTTAAATACATGCTCCTTAGTATGTGTTTTTGAGTTATTAATCAGCTATTGTTATCACTCTTGATTAGTTACAAGGTATTAGTTAATTAAGCCATTACAGACAAATCCATTGAGGAAATTAAGCAGCATCAGTGCTTCCTATGTAATAATTAGGTTCCCAATGCTTTAGTTTTAAATATATTAAAATTAAATAATAAATGATAAATATTAAAATTTTTATTATATTTTTTACTTATATTAACTGGAAACTCTTGTATATTTTTCAGAAGCCCTTCTAAAATAAAAAAAAATAAACCATTTAAATTTCCAATCAAAAAAGAGAAACATGAAAAGCTTAAAGATAAAGAGAACAAAGATACACTTAAAGAAAAAAAAAAAGATGGAGAAAAAGAAAAAAAGAAAGATAAACCCAAAAATAAAATAAAAGATAAAAAAAAAGATAAAAAAGGATCAAATGGAAAAGTTATTATTGATATTGGTGATTTGTATGGTAATTAAAGTTCTAATACTTATCATACAAAATCAATATTGTACTATTATTTTCAATTATTTAATTATGTAGAAGATCAACCTATCTTTGGGGTTCCATTAGAAATATCATTTGATCGAAATCCATGTCATGATGATATTCATTTACCATTAGTTTTGAGAAATTGTATTGACTATGTGCAAATGAATGGTATGTGTTATATAATTGTTGTTTATATTCATTTTAATTATATTTTAACTTTAGGTTTATGTACTGATGGTGTGTATAAAGTACCTGGTGTTAAGTCTAAAGTACAGAGCCTTAAGGTTCAGTATAATAGACGCCAATCAGTAAATTTAGCCGATTATGACTTAGCAGTTGTTACAAGTCTACTAAAACAATACTTGAGGTATTGTATTTTATTTTTAATACTTTATTTTATTTTAATATTTATCCTAAAAATAATTTTATAGAGAACTTCCTGATCCTATATTAACATCGGACTTGTTATCCAAATTTGAAGATGCTGCTGAAACTCAAAATATTGAATTAACCAAGTCATTAATTTCAGAACTTCCACTATGCAACAAACATACTCTTACCTGGTTAATAGTTCATTTTACCAGTATCATAGAAAATGTAAGTTAATGATTTAATATTTAAAAACACTATTATCTTGATTTTTATTTATAGGAAAAATATACTAAAATGAACACTACAAACTTTGGTTGTGTTTTGTGTCCTGTTCTTCAAATGTCTCAAAGACTATTCTCATTTTTTATTACTAAAAGAAATGATCTATTTCCTGGTGCTGTTTTACACAAATATATACCACCTTTAAGATGTGCTAGTCCATATTTACCAACTGGCAAACAAGAAATGACTATTGAATTAAAAAAACAAGAATCACTTCTTGGTTATATACACCGTGAAATGAATGCTGGATTTGTATGTAAGACTAAGGAAGAAGAATTATGGGATGTTCAAAGAATTATTACTCAGTTGAAAAGGAAACTTAAGGTATTAGAAAAAGATAGTCATAAAGTTTCAAAAGATAAAGTAAAAAAAGAAGATCATGTAAATGGAAAATTCGAAGAAGTTGGAACTCAAACAGCTTTAGGCAGGCAAAATTCTAATAACAGTGTATCAGGAAAAGCTGAAGTAGGATCCATTACAAGCGATACATTTAACATATCAAACTGTGATGGATCACTAGTTGATGAAGAAGTACAAACAACAACTTCAGGTAATTCAAATAATTACATTTTATACCAAATATTGTTGCTAAAATAAAATGATTAACTTTAGATAGTGATAATGAAGAATTAGTCTTGCAGTATGAATCTGAAGAATTAATGTCGCTCATTGCAAACTTAAAAGATTGTATTGTTCAAGAAAAATGTGAAATTGATCGATTACATAAAAAATTGACGTCGGTTGGAAGAAATATAAACGTTAGGTAATAATAACTTTATATTTATAATAGAAATTCATTTTTTACTATATATTACAATATAATATTATGTTTATACATAAATTTAGAATACTTTATTTATTAATTGTTATTTATTTAGTGAATATTTTATGTATCCAATTGATGAAACAACAGTCACCAAAAACACATTGTTAAGTGAATATAAGATGCTACAGGTAATGAAACACTTGCAAGAAAATGTTTGTAATTTATTTATTTGATAAAATTTTTAGTTTCAGAAAGTTCACTTGTTAAAAAGTATAGAGGAAGAACGAGAAGCCATACTTGATTTAAAAATTCAAATAAAACTAGCACAACGCAAACATATGGCAAGTGCATAAAATTCTTTGAAACCCTATTACCATTTTTTTTATTATAGTATTTAAAAATTTAGTGAATAGACTAAATCAAAAAACTATGACATTTTAAATTATTTTGTATATAATGTGAAAAACTATTGATTATCCATTTCTATTATATATTGAACTATTTTAGGTAACATTTATGTATATTTTTTTATTATTTGATTTATTATTTGTACTAATTATCATGTTTTTTGTAAAATATTTTCTCTTCAAAATTTCAATATTTCATATAATAACATTCATTTTATTCAATTCATTTTATAACAATCTTAATATTATTATATTTTTGTGAATGACTTTTAGTTATAAATTATAGATATAAAATATAGTGTTTTATTTTTAAAGTTATTTTTATATATTGTGTCCTATAAATAACTAACTGATTATTGTTATTAATAAATGAAAAAAAGTTTTGACAGCAGAAAAATAAAAGTAATGTCGATTATTGATGTAGCATATTTGAATAGTTTTATATTACCAAAAGCAACTAGTAAAACTAATTGATAAATATTGTAATACTTACAATTAGTAAATTTTTATAAAATATATGAAATATATATATATATATATATATATATATATATATTAAACAATGGAATTCATGAGTAAAATGTTTATTTAACTAAATCCATTACATTAATCTAATAAGTTATCTATTTTGTATATCTTGTATTATCAAATAAAATCTTAATTAATTTCCCTTAAATTAAACAGATTGATTTCAGTATAACTCAGTAGAACAATTTTTAATTTAATATGTATTAAAAATAATAGGTACTATTTTATTTAGGTAATGTCTTATGGCTGCAAAATACAAATATTTTTTTGGATATAAGTTTTTTAGTAACTGGTAGGTCAAATAAATTATTCAGTATAATATAGTATAAATAGTATAGTAGTGAAGTATAAAACTGACAATATTACCATAAGCATTGCATTAGTCATTCATTTTCTTCAAAAATAAAAATCTAAATATCAGTCTGTATGTTTTAAAAATCTAAAAAAGTTAAAACCAACTGTAGATATAAATAAGTATATAATCTTTTATGTAATAATGTATGAACAATAAAGGAAGACAATTGCCTTTAACAACCAATTATATGAGACCTTTTTATTGTACTCACTTTAGTACCTAATAAGTTATAATAGACAGTATTATGGTTTTAAGAAAAAATTCAACCTGTAGGAATTATTATAGCTAATAATAATGTTAGTATTATAATTTTTCATAAAAATAAATTATATTATTTGTAATATTTTATAATAGAGAAACATTAAATTAATTGATAGAAAAGAGTGAAAATAATTCTAAATCTTCAATGATTGACTTTTTAGTAAACTTATACTTTAAATTTGAAGTAGTAAATAACTGCAATAATTTATATTAACAATGAAAATATTGTGTAACAAAAATTATGGAATTCCAATTTTCAAACTTTAGAGAGATTTTCAAATGTAAAAACTACAAAATACATATGTACACCTATAGACGTAACAATATGCTTATTTTATGTATTCTGAAACTGTTAATATAACTTTTTATAATATTGTGGTTAAATCTCAGATAATTGTGTACTAAAATCTGAAATAAGTTGTAAGCTTTGAGAGCAGCAAATAAATATATACTATGGACAACAATATTCTAAAAATGTCTCTGTTTTGATGTCACAATATAATTTTTACCAACAAAAGAAACTCATTCATTTTTAAGTAACATGTTGACATTATTTTGATAATGAGTTATAAGAAAAAACCTACCAACATTTTAAATATTCATCAAGTAAGTACAATTTAAGTTATAATAATAATTAATGAAGAAATATTGTGTTTTTTATTTTTGAAATATTGATGAACAGAATATTTAATTTTTTTTTATGTTTTTTAAGAATTTTAATAATAATATAGTCTTAGAAATACGAAAAAACGTTTATATTTTCTTTATACATATACAAAAATACACCGATGGGTTGTTTAGCATATTATTCACATGGCAACAAATATGAATATCGATTATTATTGTTTTTATTAGACCACAATTGAATGTCTATCGCTTCGTCTTTTATGTGAATAAGTGTCCCTTGTATTTACCGTGGAATTCATAGCAGAATAATCTATAGGGAAGAATTCAGGTGTCGGGCCACATTTTGCAAATAACCATTGTCCGGATCCATTAGGTCTGGTACCTAATAACCAGTTTGCGAAACATCGACCCCATGTATCACGATCCAACTTAAAATCTCCATTCTACAACAAATAACAATACGTTTAAAAAAAAAAGTGAACGTATTGTACATGTTGAGATATTTTTTAAAAATTTTCTCAATCGGTTTATTAATTTAAATATATTATTGTAAGTCAACTTGGTAAGTACCCGAACGCGACTAACTTATTACCTACTACAAAGTATTTTTATTCCAGTATTAGTGGATAACACGCATTATTCTAGAATGGTCTTTACGTCTAAAAATATTTATTACAAATATATATTGAAGAAACCTATTGTTTACTGAAATTAAAATCAGTAAATTTCAAAATTGATGTATAAAGTATACTAGTAAAATCATATTTACCAACAGAACTGTAGGTAATAAAAAAATATATTACAATAAAACCTACAAATAATTATTTATCGTTAATATTTTATTGACATTTAAAACGAAAAATATATTTTTTGCTTCATACTAATATAATAACTATCATATTTCCCAGCCGAGTGTTAAAAATCGATTGCACTAAGGCATAAGGGGAGTAATAACGTTAAACGCGACAGATAATTATACCAAATATCTCCGCTGTCAGGGGTGCCGCAGTCCTGAAAATGTAATTGGAAAAAAAATATTAGAAAAGGTAACAATATCTAAATATCGACCCTAAAGACGTATTGTTTGAAGAAGGGGATAGTACGTTTTACACAAAAAATATTGATGTTAGGCTTCAATTTTTGAATGAAAATTTCATACGGTTTAGCAGCCAAACTTCATCTCAATACGAAGCGGTTCCATTTTGAATTTTTAAAAAATGTCGGGCCAAGGCCTGACCTCAATATAGGGTTCAGCGCTACTATCCACTGTGATTATCCGTTCAAAAAGTAACCATAAATACATTATAATTTAAAAGATTTATCGTTGTAAAATTCGTACATTATAAGAGGAGGGAACTCGACTCCCTCCCTTTATCTCTTATAGTAGAAACGAACAGATCGAAAAACATTACGTTGTAAAAAAATAATATACTAAAAATAATATGTCAGAAAACAGCTTGATTATCTAGTGTTGCATCTGTTCTATTTCACAAAATAAATTGCTTAAAAAACATTTCTATTTTTCGTTTTTTTTCGTACTTCATTATAATATGACATAGGTAAGAACTTTAAGTTAAATATTTTATTTTATATACATGTTTTACAACTTTAGTCTATATAATAATGAGGTAATATGTTATTTTCAAATTATATTTCACCACAACTACATTATAAACTCTCCCCCAACCAATGTGAAAAAACTTTGGTTCACTGATTAACTGAATAACTATTTTATTAATATAAAAGTAAGATATCGGTAATTATTTTGCATACTACAATCAAGGTTATCTGAAGCTAAATATGTTGTGATATTTAAATAAGAACATTTTTATTTATATAAATATAGGTACATATAATATTTATTATAATATGTATTGAATTTTATTAGACAGTTAACAGTCAACGACAGTTTTAACAGTTAGAAACCTGTGTTGAATATTTATCATGATTCTATTATGTTTATTTAGGATAGAGTTTGTATTAATTGTTTAAATGTTAAAGAAAACTATTATTTTATATCTCAAGAAAAATTTTGAACGAATTTATAGTTCACCGTAAAAATTATCAACATTTTTAAAAAAACAAATGTATTTAAAACTTTTTATTACATCCATAATATTTGGTTATTTTTAAAAACTTAAATGTGGTTATTTTAACATTTATTATAAATCAGATTTTTGTATAATTTATGCGGACTTATAAAATATAATATTATGTATTTTTATATTAAGTTAACTTTTTGAGTGATGTTATCAACTTACTGAGGTAAGTGAATTGTACATAGCGTCAATTACGACTTGCTTGGATTCCTCACAGTTTGAACCTAGAAACGTGTCGTAGAACCTTTGTAAATTTGATTTTTCTATTTCACCTTTACCTGTATAATATAATGGTAATTTTAGTGTAAAAGTATATAGAATTTATATACATTTTAGGTGATTATTTTTGATATATTTTAGGAATTTTGAGTTAAATTTTTTACCACAATTACCTGAATCCAAAGATTTAAACAATATATTCTGAAAGTATTTCAGCCATAGAGGCATATCTGAAGCAACTGTACACTTACTTAGAGTTTGACACCATACTTTTAACCAGTCGTCTATTGATAAACTAATAAACGCAACGTCTGAAAGTTACAAAAAGTATGATTTAGAATTTAATTTAAACAAGAACATATTTTTAAGACTATTTTATTACTTTCAAATTATCAAACTACAGCAGTAAATATCATACGTAGGAAACTATGATTTAGATTTTAAAATATTTAAAAAAATAAATTATGAAAGTAAAAAGTTCAATGCCGACGGGAAAAAATTGTTAAATACTAAAATAATTTAGTTATCTCAAAACCAAAAATTACGAATCCATATTATATATATATATATTTAAATTAGAGCATTATAACGTTTCTCAAGGGATACATACTATCCTATCTAATTTATACTGACTCAACCTATTTAAAATATAAAAATAAAGCACATAAAAAATATCCAATCGTTAACTTTTTAGCTACAAAAAAAAAAAAAAAAACAAATGACTCATTTATATTTTATTATAAGTAATTATATATTTTAATTTTAATTATTATCCTAATTTATTATTTTTCAACTATTGAATTTATATTTATATCGTTTTTAGTATTTGAGCCAAACCATATATTTGTTGCTTTACCTTTTTTTTAATACAAATACATAAAATAATTTAATAAATGGAGAAACTTAGTAATGTCTGTCTAGCACTAAAAAAAATACATAAAATTATAGCTTCAAGTAGAGAATATAAAATAAATAATATAAATAATTGGTAGGTATAAATATAGTAACTCATTTTTTCAATATTTAAATATGTAGTTATTATATCTATTGTGAAATTCGAAGTAAAAAAAATGATTTCCTGGTCTAATGCTAAAATTTCACAAAGAATGTGAGAAAAATACAATAATTTTATGACCGGAAAATTATATAAGCTCTAGTTTATACTTCGTGTTACCCTACTTTTCCACTACCCATATGAATAAAAACTTTTCTGAAATATTATTTTCAGATCTTTATATATTTCAACCAGCCAGGGAAAAATAAAGCTTACAATTCCATAGTGTTTCAACACTATAAAATTGTATTGACAAGGCCGTATCTCGAATTTTTTTTCGGGAGAGGTCCAAAACATGTATAACTATTGTAATTTTATTGAATTTAGATTTTAACTTTTGATACTTGGTTAAAAATAAGACAGAAAAAGATTTAATCTTCTTTTATTAAAATTAATATCATATTTTCATATGATATTATGATATAAAATTAAAAGCAGTCAATGATTAATTGGAGCTTAAATCATTTTTGACTGAAAATATTTAAGTTGGTATTAAAAATTAATAAGTATTTTAAACATTCGTAAAATATTGAAGAAATTTCGGGGAGGTCCAGACACCCTGGACCCCATCCCCTCAGATACGGCTTTGTGTATTGCATACATAGTATATATGAATATAGTACTGTTATGGTAATATATTACCATAACAGTACTATTTCAAATGTTTTAATTAGTTATATCTTAAATTAATATGTGAACAATTTTAATATTTTCGATTAATTAAAATCAATGAAGAAAAATAGAATAAACCGAACATCTAGGAAATAGTAACGTTAAATAGTAAGTGGGCATGCTATTTTTCATTTTGTGAATATAGTCACTGTGACATTGTAAAATTAAAGACATTTTTTACAAGACCAACGACTTAAGGTTTCCAACTGTGTGTCGCGAGCACCCTTGAAGTGTACCGCTATAAATTGTTTTATAAGTATGTATTTACCAGTTTATTATCGATATTCGATAAAAACTGATCGAACTAATCGTATATAAATATAATATTATTTATTGTAAGTATGCCCATAAGTATGCCCATTTCAGCCGTCTCGATCGATCGATTTTATTAATATATTTCACAATAAATAACTCTCTAATTGAGTAGACTATAAATAGTGTACATATATATATAAATATATATAAAATATATTTCACATAATATATAGATTGGTATGCCTCATTTTGTTAGAAATAAAGTGTGCCGCATTGTTAAAAAGGTTGAAAACCCCTGGTCTAGACAATTTCAATAAAATATTTTGTGGATGAGAATTTGATAATTGTAAGCGCCAAAGTATAAGAACCACAGAAATATCTCAGTCCATTCAATATTAAAATACAAATCACATATTTCACCAGAAATTTGATTTAAAAGTTCAGTATTACATACTACTTCCCCGATGGTAAATTGACAAAATATGTAACGTATAATATAAAACCTTTAATAAAAAATGAACTAAAAGGTCATGTTAAAATTGACGTGTCCTATGGCGTTTCAGTTTAAATTATGTTTAATTATTTTTTTATTAGAACATGTCAAAATAGTTCTTTTTAATTTATATAATATAATATAATATATATATATTATAAATATAATTTAATGAATAACAAAATAAATATAATGTTATTAAATTGTTATTATTATTTACATTTGTTTTTAAGTTTAATATAATAAATTAAATTCGCACTTGTATTGTATTGGGAACAAACGATGTACGATAACACAGTTACAAAAGTTGATGAAAGAACTAAATAGTTCATTTCACAATGTAGGTAATGATAGTTCATTATTTTATGAAATTAATACATTTCATTAGTTATTCATATACTATAATATGAACTTAATTAAAATTCAAAAGACTTGTAAATGTCTATATTAGTTTCATTTTAATACTCTAAATGCCTAATTTTGATATTTAAAAGTCAACTATTAATTCTTTATTATTACCATAAATTAATTATTGTAAATTGCACTCATCGTCAAAAATACTATCTTAAACTGTTCTTTTTATACAAATATCCCTCACTATAATTTTATCTGTTTATACAACACTTATAAATAACGTATATAATTTATAAATAAATATTATTACGTATTTAATCGAGTTTTAATTATTACCACTGCATTACTTTCTAATTTTTTTTTTTTATGACCTTCATTTGTTTTACTTATATCTATGAGAATCCAAATATTTTATTTCACGAAATATATTATTATTTTGTACAGTATATGGATATGTAATATTTTTTGAGTTATCATATTTAATATTATAATTTATAAATAAATAAAAAATAAAAAAAAAAAAGTATTGTAAATAAAATAGAGGAAATTAAAAAAATACACACTGTACTTCAAAGGGTTATTTCCAGTGTTGGAGTTAGATAAATACATTTTTATCTAGTTAAAGATGATGATAATACGACAATAGTTTACCTAAATAAAGATAAAAATTAACTAAATTAAAATCTTTCTATATGCAGATTAAAGATGTAAAAAAGATAAATTTGTTTTATACTTTGAAGTCAAACTTTTTGAGAATAAACCTTAAGCTGCATCCACACCACACAACCAATTCAAAAACGTTTGTCAAACGTTCGCCGAACACCAATAAATATTTAGCAAACGTTCGACGAATGTTTTTCGAACGTTTGTTTGATGTAGACGCGTTTCCAAATCAATTTTTTTGTCAATAATCCAAACAAAAATGTTCGCTCACTAGGCGAACATTTTGAATGTTTGTTACTTGTATGTCGATGTACGTCTAAATAAATAATTATAAATGTAGTTAAGTAAGTTTTAAGTAATACATTAAAGAATGATATAAATCATACCACCAATTGATAAAATTCGTCAAGTTATTGCTAAACGTAGTGACACAAAAATATTTTCACGAAAATTTGTGTTTTGTTTTGTGACTTGTGGGCCAATTAAATTAATTCAAAATTCAAAATCACTACTTGACAAACGTTTGACGAATGTTCGAAAAACGTCTGACAAACAATGTTTCCCCAAACGTTTGTTAGGTGTGGACGCAGCTTTAGATACCAGTAAACTGCTTTGTATGCATATCATTATTATTTTAAGTTTAAATAATATTGAAGTACTTATATGCATGTAAGTAAATATAATTATACAGCCTGTGTTTAAATTTTAAATATGTGCTATATTTAAATTAATGTTAGTAATATACATAAAAATTAGTCAATACTCAATAAGTATGAACTAATAAACATCTTAAAAATTAAGTATAAATATTAAGAAAAAAACATTTTACACATGCATAGTAAATTGTGATAATTGTGAAAATGTATGGCAGTTTTAATATATATTTAAATTTATATTAGTTGACATACAATTGTAATTTGGTATGATAATTGTTATATAAGGTATATTAAACATACAATAAATAAAAAACATTTTATTTTATGTTAAAAATAATAATATAAGATGCAATTAAATAGATTAGATCTGACTGAGTAACTCAACAGTCATTATAACTAATAAATAATTATAATTAATTTTTCATTAATTTACTAGCTCATATAATCTCTCAAACATAACAAGAACATTTATTCTACAATTGAGGATCCCAGGATCTTAACGAAAAAGTTAATTATTTATAATACTATTTTTTAATTTTTGTTATCAATCGGATTTTTAAGAATTCAAATTTCAAGTTACATCAATAAAATAAATTGACAATACAAATTTATATTTATTTTTTTTGTATATAAACGAAATTATCTAGATAGATATTTTATCTAAGATAATTATTTAGATAACATGCAACTATTTATTTAGATAAAATAAAAGATAAATAAACAATTATCTAGATAAGTCCGAACCCTGGTTATTTCTTAGCTAAGTTCTATATACTATAAAAAATAACTGATTTAAATATTTGAATAATTATAGGGAAAAAAGTAAAAAAAAATTCAATCCTTTAAGCTTTAATATATATTAATTATTTTTCAATATTAATAAAAAAAAAAAAAAAAGATTTTATATTAAAGATATATTTGAATGCTTACTTTGACCGCTTTCGCATGGAATGAATACTTGGATTAATTCTCTTAAGACTTGTTTTAAAATTATGTATTCATCACTATCCGGTGACCAATCAGCGAAACGTCTTAATTTCTATATAATAAATGTATTATTATTATATAAATCACATTTCAATGTAGAAAAAAAAATTAGATATATATTTATAAAATTAACCTGAAATTCAGAATTAAAATAATAAAACGGTGATTAATATATTAGTAACAATCTTCAAATCAAATACTACTCAGTAAAATAATAATATACAAGAATATGAGTTTAATAATTGATGTTATTGTTATTTAACAATTACAATTAATATCTACTATGTGTTTTGCATATCTAAAGTAAAAATGTACACAGCATTTTATTTTGGATATAATATAATTACATTTTTGAAGTTTTAGATCATTAACGGATTAACAGAATTTTATAATTTAACGAATTCGGATAAAATATATGGCAAAATGGAAAAAAAATCAAACCATTTTAAACTTGAAACAGAATAATGAGTTAAATATTCTTAATAAATTAGATAAACTGATATGAAATTTAATATTTAATATTATTCAATCAGATTCCTATACTATTATACAGTACTAATTTAAATTATAACCATTCCAGAAAAATTAAACGTTAATAGTTGTATAAATGCACACGGCTCTAATATAAAGTTTAAAATTCTAAGAAATCTTATTCTAATTTTTAAAGAATATCAATTTTAGATTATCAACTATTTCAACAAGGTTTTGAGTAGATTTTCAAAGCAAATACATATACCTAATATATCCCTTATACTTTATAAATACTTTAAAAAAACCTATAAGAATTTAATAAAAATAAAAATAAATCTTACCATTATAACTATAATAACTGTATGTGTAAAAGTATGAAGTAACTGTATGAAGTATAGTTTTCTGAAGCGTCTATTAATTAGTATAATATGAAGGAAATAATTAGGGATGCACTTGTATAATGAGAACAATTAATTGGCCAAATGTTAACTGATTATTATTAATTATTCATTATATAGTACTAAAACACTAATGTTTATATAATTAATTTTACTTTAGAAAATAATTCAGTGTTATGTACCTCAAAAAATTGATGGAAATCATGTTCAAATACGAACCCATCGCAATCACCATCTAAATAATATTTGAAAAAGGTCGATAATTTCTCCTCTTGCAACGACGACAATTTAAATGGAATCTCCAATGATTTCGATTCATCTTCACTAGCATAACGTTTCATCCAGGATGCTAAACAATTTTTAAAATACTTATCGTGTTATAGCACAATTAAGAGGAAGGTTTATTTTGTATTAAGAAAAAATATTTGTTTTTAAACGACCTTTAGTATAATCTTAGACTTTGCGAAGTAATTATGTTTTTTTATGATTATTATTTAAAGATAATGTTAAGATAATACAAACGTAAATATGGCATTTTAATTTAATTTAAATGCTTCAAAAAAGTTAAATAATATATTTTTTAATTACATTGGTTATTAAATTATAATACTGAAACATATAAAAAAATAAATTGAAAAATATATTTATTATCTGCTATACAATACAATAATAATAGGATGTAAATTGTACTATGTTCGAAAAAAAAATATAAGTTAATTATGAACAAGAACTATAAAATACTTATATAGTAATTCGAAATTCATTTTTATAGAACTTTGAAAATGAATAATTATTTATTATTAATTATTAATGAATATTTTATTAGTTCTACTACTACTATATATTACTATATGCGTGTATCAAATATTATATGGACATTATAATAACATATTATTATTTAAAAAATTATGACGTTAGTTTGGTTCATATAAATAATTATTACATAACATACCCCATACGTGTATTTCCAACGTACTGGACGTATCGTCAAACTTGGGTTCTTCAGGCTGCATTATGATCGTGTTACTTTTCCACGACATAGTTCTACGTAACAGTTGTTTAGTTCGATCTCTAGTTCGATCACATGCCTTAACATTTAACATTTGTTTACTATGGATAAAATAAATAAAATCAACATTGAATAAGAATTTTGTAATAGCAATTAAACCTCAAACAAAACCAACGATGACTATTTTTTTATATTAATTTGATAGTGTATTTTTTTTTTAAATCAAATAGTTAGAAAGTCGTTCACTATAATTGAATTTCGTAGGTACAGTAATTTAAATAATTTTACTTAAGTAACAGATAATTTAAAAAAAAAAATGAAACAAAGACACAAATCGAGTTATTGTGAGTTATTTATGATACTTACGTAAAGTTGACTTACTATTTTTAGTTAAGGCGAGTTGAAAAGATCATAGAGTTAATAACATTTAAATTTACGAGTATCATAAATAAATACTTACGTTATTCTGTATATTAATTATAGAAGACGAATTTAAGAAAATATTTTTATCGTTTTTACGTTTGTACATTAAAGTATAGTATCGTAGTATCGATTATAATATGACTTCACTGCATATCACAGTCGTCTACAAACCATACAACTATTTACATTAAATTCATATTGATCTTTCAACAAGTCTACTCAGTCTACCTACTTAACATTTATTTACGATTGAAAAAAAAAAAGTTTCTGTCGATTCCTTTCTAAATGTTAATAACGTTTTAATGATTTCAAATATTCTCAATCTGATTCATATATATATATATATATATATATATATATATACAGGTGTAATGGTAAACTAATGACACTTAAATCACTATTATAGTACATGTATGACGTATGTAAATATGTATATTTTATTTTTATTTTCTGGCTTTTAGATCATACATCCAAACATAACTATCTCCATCCATAACGGTTTTGCGCCAACATATACCGTGTAAAAAGTCTGCTACATCCCTTTTGAAAAAATCTATACATAATCCAATACATTTATATTCTTGATTATTAACAAGCTTTTATGTTATGATGATTTATATTTTAATTTTTGTATCTAATGGTATGGTACAAATGCGTACTTCATATGATAAAAATAAATGTAATCAATAACACTGAATTTATTTTATAAATTTACAACAATATCTTTAATATTAGTTATACGGGTAAGATAATGCAACATTTTTCAATAAACCAAATACTTATTGATCAATTTAAGCAATGCTATTTAATAACGGTCATTCAATAATAACGTTTTTGTTATATTTTCATAATGCGGTTTTCATTAGTTTCTACTGAAAAAAAATCGATCGTAACAAAAAGAAGAGAAGGTTTAATTTTAATTTTAAGTAAATACCAAATTCTATTTTTACCATGATTCATCTGAGTTTTTTCAAACGTAAGCACCTATATTATTGATTAGCCTTTTTAATAAAACGTTATAAGCGTATATTTAAATAATATTTCGCACAATGACAAATGAAAGTGGAAACTGTTGCGCGTTATACTGTATGTGAATAATTTGTTAAACGAAAATGTAGTGTAAAAATCGATATAAATGTTTGGTACATCGGACTCAAGTGACTTATACTCGTAATGCTGACAATATTTTTAATCAATCGTTTCTAAAAAACTGAAAACTCTCGACATTCATATTTAATTCCAAAACGAACTGTTTAGAACATCGTGATTTTTATCTACAAGATTATAAACACCTGTTTCCACGTCGATGACATCTTTGCCGTCGAAGTGATCGTTTGTAGGTCGTTCGCCACAACAGTCGCCACGTCGCTATCGCCCGGTTTCTTGCTATCAATAGCCGCCGCGGCCACTGCTGGAAAACTTTTCAGGCTGTGTGACCGTACGTGCTTACCATTCGGCGTTGTGCTTGTCATGTTTTGTGACTAGGAAAATACTAAGCAACTACGTCGGCCGATATTTACGTGTGCACTGTACACGGGGTTTTGTTTAAGCGCGCTCTGAACAGCCAGTTATATGTATAGGCACCGTGTATAGGGACACATAACATCGAATAATTCGCTACGATTCGTCGAAGAGTTAAAGTGAAGGAGGGGACATAATATAACATAATATATTAAAGGTTTTTTTTACCCTGCGAGGTTTTTTTTTTCAGCTCGCAAACTGTGCATGCAATATTATACACGCAATGGGGTAGTTTAAAGTAACAGTATTGTATCGTGTAAATATATATATATATGTATACAGGATGGGCATGGAAAGTAAATTAAAATCTCTAAAATACACTAATCACAATAATATCATAAATGTATGAAAAATGTCTTTTATTTAGTTTAAAAAACTTTATATTTATATACAATTATTATTATATGCAATTTTATAAACAGTATAATAAACTATTAATTAAATTAATCATCTTGAAACAAAATTGAGTAGGTATATGAATATATATATATATTGTTCATTAGAAGTATAAATAAAATATCACTCACTTGTCTTATATCTTAAACAGAATTCAGAATTATATTAAATGTAATTCATTGATTTTTAGGGTATAGTCTTTTCATAAATAATAACAATTATTTTGTACAAACACTTTTTAAAAAACTAAAAAAAAAAAAAAAATTAAATTCACAGTTTCGAGTGAAGTTTATAAGTGGATTAATATATGTAGTAAATAAATATCATTAGTCCATATTAATATATATTGTCTAGATCTACTATAATATTAATTACGTTAAATACACATAAGCTATTTATTTTTTTATACAATATTTTTCGCTAGTATCTTATAATACCTCATCAGCTAATTTAATTGTACTAGTACTTGCACTCGATAAAAAATATAAACAACGTACTAATAAATAACTGACTATGGTTTGATTTGAAAATACACAAAGCTAGCTGTCTTAAAATGTTTTAACAATTATAGTCTATTTAAAAATAATAATAATTTATGATGAACAAAATAAGTTTACATCATATTTGACATTTTTTGAAAATAGTTTCATTGTTAAATCAAAAATACAACTATTTAATTAAAACTACAAAACTATTATTACAATCAAAACTTGTTTAATAAATTAAATAACATTAATATTAATATATGCATAAAAATAAAAAATTAATTAAATATTAATAACTGATAAATGTGTACAACAAACGTGTGACTATACCAGAGATAGGTTATTAAAACCTGCGGACTATAGTAAAGAAAGCAAAAATGGAAAAAAGGTCATTAAAATTGATAATTAGCAATTATTTTAATAAATTTAGTTTTACGACTGAACCAATAAAATAAAATATGTGCCTAATACCTATAGCTAAGTTAACTATATCGACATGGATATAAAATATATTTAGACATCTAATGTTTTAGCTGGAGTTCAATACTATAGAAAAATATGGTATCTAAATTTTACGATTATCGAGATAAAATTAATTACTGATAAACACTAAAATGTTATGAAATTATTTGAAAATGTAACACGGACTGGATAAAAAAAAAATGCGCAGGCTGAGTGCGGCCCGCAGACCACAAATTGTCCATCCCCCCCTTATTAAATTTTCACTAAAAATGTAATATAAACATATGTGGCAATTTTAAAATCTGCAGTCCAACTTATACTAAACTCCAATCGGATGGTACACCACATAAAACTTTTTAACGTTTGTATAGCACAAAATAATATCTTCTAAAAAAAAAAAAAAAAACCATAAACCAATTAACTTATTATTTTTAAATGCTCTGGATCAAAACATTTACAGTTGAATAATTTCATTCATATTTCATATGAATTATTAGTAATTTATACTCCATGTTTCATAACCCTCGATCAAAAAATTATTGAAATTAAATATTTAAAACTCTATTTATTCCTTTTTCGTAAATTGTATTCGTATTATAAAGGTATATAATCCATTTATTGGGTTGTTTATTTTAATATTAACTTGTCCAATCTAATGTAAGCAGTATCCCTATACTTAAAAATAATAATTGCATAATTTGTTATTTATAAAACACATAGATCTTAAAACTATTAAATTCCAAGCAAACACAATTCCTAGTAGGAATATACGGCAAAGAACTTGTTCTAACTTCACACCATGAAAACCCATTTGTATTGATTTATATAATGTCGTGAGTCGTAACATTTGTACTATAGGTCTTCGAACACGCAAAATATAGTAATTACTTCCTTAATTAGAAATTCTCAAGAGGATAGTAAGAATTAACGATTTTTTTATGAAAACCAATTACATTTTTTTCTAGTCAATATATATACATAAATCGGATTATAATTCTGAATATAAATATAGTATTTGAATATAAATAATTTAAAACATAAGTTTAAGCTACTTAATATGTAGTTTTTTTAATTGAAAACGATTTAAAATATTTTGTAATTGTTGAGCTATGATTGTTTTGAACAGAATAAATAAATTCATATTATTTTTTATATGGTTAATCGATAAAAATTTACTTACCATCAAATAAGTTTATGAATGGTTTCTGTAACTTTTTACTGTATGATGTTTATACTTGCATTTTATTATCAGTTGTATTCTAAGTAACTCGTGTAAAGTCGACTACAATTACTTCATGTATATTTGAATCATATGATCAAGTACCATATATAATATATTTATTTGACTATTTATAAATATATTTCTATTTATTGAATATTCAACTGTATTTCAGTATTCTAAGTAGCACTTCTATATAGACTGTATATAACATAAAGTAGGTCAACACTCAGGTGTCATGATACAAATTAGACGCTACAAGCCGATGACAGTTAAATAAAGGATACAAACTTCTTAAAAGTGGCTAACACTACTCACTTATTACATTTAATGTTTATTAAATACAAATAAACATCTGCAATAATTAAGAAAAAAAATTATTTAAAAATGGCAAAACATTTATTAAAAAACTAAAGTTTATCTTAATTCATATTCAAAAAACAGATTATTCAAACTGAAATCAAATACTTTAGTCAAATAATTTTAAGCTTTCAATTTAGCAATAATTTAAGTATAAAATATATCTGTGTCTTGTAATAAGCTCCTACTATAAGAGAAATGCCGATGCAATAGAAATAATAATAAAGATTTTGATATATTTCTCCTGTACATAGTTCCCTAGTATTGTATTATAATCATCCCCAAAGTACTTGGGATGTTTTTTTTAGGGTAACTTAACTATAGCTTATATAATATTTTACTTTTACGTAACCAAATATTTTACATTTCCTACATTTTAGGCATCATAAACAATGAATAAATTGACATTACAATGTTACAAATGTATATTGAATTCAATATTTATTTGTTCTTATTTTTTGTTTCATTGTTATATAAATGATAAAATAAAAAATGTTAGCCTCAAATAATTGAAAAATTATATCGTTGATATGATTTTATTTTATCTCATTAAAATATTATATAAAATAATATCTTTCAAAATCTTTAATATGTTGATTATCTGTAAGTTAAGACTGTATATTTTAGTTTTATTCAGAATTATTATTAATATGTTAAAATACATATAAAAATATAATATTTTAAAACTAACGTAATGTTGATTATCTTTTATTTTCTTGAAACTCTACAATGATTTCATCTGTATTCATTTCTGTAAGCAGCGATTTTCTATGGTCATTTATGCTAAAGCGTTTAAGCATAGATTTTTCATGGCAAACCTCAATTTATTCTTTATTCTTTTCAAATTCTAAAATGCTCTTTCTGTTCTGTAGTTGGCAACTAGATAGAATCTATATATCATATCCACATTAGGAAAAACTGAGTTGAGAATATTATCTTATGATATACTCAATAATAATATTATTATTGAGTATTTATTTGATTATAAAATAAAATAAAATAAAAATAAAAAATTTTCAAATATAATTTGAAGACAGTTAAGTCCTGATGACATTTTAATTTTTCTTTCTTCAGCATACTCGTAAACACACTTGGAAGATATATGATTTCTTCATGAAAAATGTCACTATCAAAGTTTTCCGGATATATCTTACAAAGATTTTTTCTCATAATCACAATTTAATTTCAGTCATCGATTTAAAATAAGTAACAAAGCTGTTATTAAAACAAAATTTAAACTTTAAATATTATAAATTTGTGCTGATAGTAAAAGGTTCAAGGTTCAAGGGTTTTAATCCTTCAGGCCCTGGAGCCTGGGTTCCTAGACTCTGTTTAATCTTGCTCTGTTCACCTGGTATTGGATATTTTATCTTAGATGATTAAATAACCTTATATCTGATATAAAAGGAACCCTATTCTATTATACCTAAAAATTCCCAAATAAAATGTAATTTATTTTCACAGATTATCTTATAAAACATTTTTCATGATAAATGGTACATTTCCCAGTTGTTAACCATCATTTAAGTAAATAAAATTGTATATAATTATTGATGTGTGCAAGTGAATAATAATGTGGAGACGATATCCGATCGTGAGCATTCCAGAATGTTCTATAAGTGCTGACGGAATATTAGGGAATGTTCGGGGACGTGCGTCTCGTTGCATTGTATATACCATAGCTTTCAACGATGATTTCATTTTCGATTGACATTTTACTCGCGCCATCCGTTGCCATTATGATGTCGTAATTGTATCCATATAATGTTGTTTTTTCATATTTAACAAGAAAGTTAATTATACGTAAATTGTAAGTGTATCTAACCCACAATAACAATAGAACTTAATTTTTAAGTATATTTTCAAAACAATATTTATTTCCATGATTATATTTATATTTTTACGACTTAAAAGTACCTAAACGACCTCGCAACTGTCTCAGCGTGACGACGTTATTTTCAGATATTATGTAAAAACATACATTTTTAACATTTTTTTTGTAAAACAAAAAAATCACTCTAACATTTCATTATATATTAATTTTTATACGATAATTTCATTGGATATTATAATATTAATCCTTAGCGCAATGTTAGTCATACAATAAAGATTTTTTTTTTTTTTTTGGTCGAACTTACAAATAGAAATTATAAGTAATTTAAAAGTAAGTTATTTATGAGTAATATGTCTTAGTTAGTAAACCTAACGAATAAGTTTATCTAAAAAGGGTATACTTCGATTTTCCTCAGCATACAACCAAAGTGAAAACCTGGGAATAACAAAAGTTAATTTCATATAGTGACTGAGACTCAATACATAATTAAAATTATATTTTGCTATAAATGTAATTTGTACGTATACTCTGGCAAATTATATGAATTATTTTCATTACTAATAATTACTTTAATATACTTTAATAATATATTGATTAATCTGAATCTTAAATATGAAATAAAAGTATTGATAGCAATCATATACAGTCCATCAATTAAAGACAGTTGTACTGTGTATTCTATTTTGAAATTCATCATAATTCGATAACTCTATTTTTAAGTATATTATAAATACCTTTAAATCTTTATGGTAATCAAGCAAGGTTATATAATAATGTCTCTCAATTTAGGTGAATGAAGTTATTCAATTAAGAAAAGTAGCACTCCATTTATTTGTATGTTTTAATTTATTTATGTTATGAGCTACATATATTTTTTGTAATATCTATATATATCAAACCGAAAACGGAATTATTAAAATAGATTTTAATAAATTATTAAATATTAATAAGGTAATAACTAGAAAACTTAATATTACCATTAACTATTAATAATATAACTATGTCTTTTTTAATTATTACACTGTACTTGAGCTTTATGGCATTTTTATTAATAAATAAATAAAATTTAGTTAATATTGAAAATAATAAGAAAAACATATTTCTATATAAAATAGGCTTCATAGTAAGTATTACATGTCTTACATACATATTTCAAATAGTATTGCACTAGGACGATCACGTTAAATAAATTAAAAGATAACTTTTGTTTAATACTAAGTCCCTGATTTATTACTTTTATGTTTAAGTCTAATCCATTTTTGAAGCTTAGATGTTTCTATTAGTGGCCTACACGTATTATACGATCATAAACTAATCTAACAATGTAACCAATATAACACATTATATATATAATTACAATCGTTTTTATACAATTCCCCACTCATATATAATACAACATGAATTGTAGAGTGTTGTTATTTATTTAGCTATGCTTTTTAAGTTATTCAAACAAATTTACAATTATGAATGTGCTCAGAGTTTTGAGATTGTTAATACATTGTTTACTTGTCGCGCACATAGCGAGCAGTAAAGACTGATGAACCGCTGTATGTATGTTATCTAATAATATTTTCAAAATGTATGATCAATAATTCAACCATTTAAAACCTAATAATTATAACAAAATTTATTTTATTTTATACATATTTTATACGAGTATCAAAATTATAAAATTTAAAATTATATTATAAGTCTATGGGTGGTATTAATTTATTATGAAATAATATATTTTGTAATAATTAACAAATATTGATGTAAAACAAGTGGAACAAATTATTTCTCAAAACATGGATTCCCAACAAAAACGTAAGTAAACTTATATTATCGATATGTACTCTGAATGTTTAATGTAAATAAATTAACAGGTATATTAAAATTCAAACACTTGATTTGAAACCGAAAAATATTTGTACATACATTTAGTGACTCATATTTGATTATTTATTTCATACTTAAATATCTGATAGAAGTTAAACCGTAAGGGTTTCTAAATAATTTGTTGTCATTTTATAATACATTATTTCCAAGGAAATGAGTTCATAATACTTTTTTGTTATTAGATATTTTTATTTATTTTTCATAGTAAAATAAATAGTTCTAAAGTACACATCAAACTGAAAGCTACCCATGAATCATAATTATTTTTGTATTGAATATTTTTTTTTCTTTTATTTTTTGTTGTACAATTTGTGAAAATATTTTTACAATTAGTACAAGTGAGAAAAGTTGTTGACAATATTTACAAATAAGTAATCATCGAGACAGTAGTCATGATCGAAGAAGCAAACCGTTGTTGTGACTTCGGAGTGGGATTTGGTAACAGTTAGTTAATAGGCTCGACACCACGTTCGTTATAAGCGTACTTTAAGCGTCTATTAGTGGATTTTTGTGATTGTGTATACTGGAGTGAAGACGTTAATAGAATGATTTGGCAGAGTTTAAAACTGTTTGAATGGATAGGTCTTTGTGGAATGTGTCGTTCGATACATAATATAGAGCGTTTGTTATTTGCCGGAAATATTTGGATTGGAATATTTGTATTTTTTTGTAATTAAAGCGCTTGGCAGCCCCCCCAGAGTTGTAGGCCATAGGTCCATATAGACTTGAGCAGCATTTTATATATAAATAGTTTATTTTTTAGGTTTTAGGTGTTTTGACATAAAAAGGTAGTGTATTTGGCGTGATCGATTGCTTAAGAGGACGTGATACCCCCCGATTTTTAGTGTAAAAACATGCCTACGCAAAATTACGATTACTCGTTTCCTAGTAGTTTAAGAGCAAAAGTACCTCTTATAAGATCTAAAATTAACAACATTTTGGAGAAAATGACATCCTTTTTTTTAAATAACGTATATATAAAAAGTTACAATCGTTTAAAAAAGTAAAAAAAAAATTATTTTTGAATTTTAGATTGTATTCAAAATATTAAGTTAATTAAAAAACGGATATGACATTTCTACAAAATGTTGTCTACTTTAGATTTTATAATTGGTGTTTTTCTCTTAAATCACTAGGAAACGAGTAATCGTAATTTTACGTAGGTATAATTTGTTGTATTTTTTTAATTTATATTGCCGTTGTGTGCTTCCACCTGCATGTCAATATGACGGCGGACACGATTTTCTCCTACTACACTAAAAAAAACTGTCGGAAAGCCGGGACAGCAACATTCGCGTCTGACCGTCGGCGTTATCTGTAATTCTACGAAAAATATTGCGTGCTATTATCATTGATTATAGAATAAACATAGAATAAATATTCTATAATCAATGCTATTATTATAAACGATTGATGGTGTACCTACATGATTATATTATATTATTATTATTTCATATTTAGTCATATTTTTAAAGCACGTAATATTTTAAAACAACAAAAATTAACCGATTTTTATAATATTAATTGTTAAGTATGTATGTAATTGTAAATAATAAAACTTTTTAATAAATAAAAAAATTATAATGATAATAATGTACCAATAAGTAATAGTACCTAATTATATCAATATGTATATTTAAATTTTTGTTGCTCGCTTAACCATCTTTTCGATTACCCGTTAAAGCTCTGGTCCCGAGACTGACGATGAATTGAGGTTCTACTGTATAATTATTTCTTTACACATTATAAAAAATAGTAATCTTAATAAATAATTAGTTCGTAAGCGCGCGCGAAAATTATATGAATTTTGACTATTGTGGTGATATTATTATAATCACCATTATATTATTTTTACATTATCAGCATTCTAAAACGTTTGATGAAACAATAAAATACTCGTGTTGATTATTTTTAGATCTTTTGTCAATCGCGCGATACCAATTAGGACTCTATGTGCGTTCATCGCGTGCTTGCACTGTGTAAAAACACCTAATAGCGCTTCCTATCGGTCATTATAACCGTTTCGCTTTGGGTATAACGTCCTCTTATGGTGAGGCGCTTGAGGTGGATGTGGGTGGCCCAGGTTGGTCGGCGATCTAGGTGCAGACCCAAATATCGGACGTTTAGAGCAGTGGTAGGGGATGTATTTGTGGTTTATGTGGGGACAGTCAATTTAAGTGTGAATGTGTACTGAATGGATTTTGATTCATTAATTTTGATATCTCATTTTTTGTACCAGATGGATAACTAATTAAGATGATTTTAGACGATGTTTGAGGCCATTTCAGTGTCAGAGTGAACTGCTAGAAGAGTTTTATCGTTGGCAAAGTCGATATTAGTGTAGTGAATTTAAAATAGAAAAATGACCTTTAATTTAAATTCATGAAAACGTTAAAAATGCAATGGATTAAGTAAATTTTCGTGTACATGAATAAAAATCTGATTTTACGTGAATTTCTACATACGCAATTGGGCGATACAGAAATCATAAGTCCTAAGTCCGTATATAGTTATCAAGGGAAAATCAACAATAAAAGTGGAGTCAGTCATAGTCTAATAAGATCAACGGATCTCCTGTAGAGATTTCAATTTATTGGAAAAGACTAATCTATGCCAGTGATGTCGAATAAGGGGATTCGAAATGTATATGTCTTCGTCCTTCACGCGTGACACATGATAAGACACCCATATTCCGTTCAACAGTACAATAATTGATGTATAACAGCAATAAATATTACGAAAACTTATTTCTTCTTTTTCTCTCGTGTCCAGAATCACCAAATTAAATTCTGTTTCCCCAGTATTCAGCAACATATATTGCCTTGTCATTTTCCAAAATGAGGTCGTCTTACATACACTTAACCCTCAGATTGGGGCATGTTAATAAATGTTCGTAATTTTGTGTCATCCACAGTCACACTTATCGTCTGCGCTGAAACCCCACTTCAAGAGCGACGCCTTGCACCTGGTGGTTCCCGTTCTAAGACAGTTAAGGGTTTTCCATGTAAGGAAGGGTAGCTGAAAACCGGTGGATCCTTCCTCCTTGATTTCCTGTGGGGAACTGGTCACTTTATTTTTCCACAGGTCAAGTCGGCGAGCTTTAGGTTGAGTTTCCAGTTTACTTGTCAGTTTAAGAAACTTTTCCGAGACTTGAGCCTGGCTGGTTGAAATGGGTGTGCGTACATTGGGTGTCGGGAGTCTTCTTGTTGTTTTGTTTTTTCAACCTCTGCAGCTACTTGCCTTCGAATTTCAGGTGGAGCAATTCCAATTATAAGATAAATATTTTCTATGACTGTTGGCATCAGGCACCCCGAAATGATGCGAGCGGTTTCGTTAATTGCTACATCCACCCTTCTTTGCATGGGCATAGTTTTTCCAGACTGGAGCGGCATATTCTGCTGCATAGATGGATAGTGTTAAACCCGTCGTTCGTAGGACATAAGAGTGGGCTCTCCAAGCAGGTCCAATGAGCATCCGTATTATGTAGTTTCTGGCATGTACTTTCATTTTTGTGTCTTGGCAATGGTATTTGAATGTGAATCTATCCAGCTTCACTCCTAGGTATTTTGGAGTATCACAATACTCAAGCTCTTGTCCTTTCCAGCTGACATTTAGTTTCCTCTTAACTTGTCGGTTTTTAATGTGGAAAGCGCTGACCTGAAACTTACTTGGGTTTGGTCTAAGATCATAGTTCTCGTGGTAGGTAGCTAGTTCCTCTAGGACTCTTATTAGTTTTTTTTCTACTTCCTCGAAGGTCTTGTCTTGCGCAGTTACTGCTGTGTCATCGGCGTAGATGAATTTCTTTGCATAGAAGTTCAGCGGTTGGTCGTTGGTATATATGTTGAACAATATTGGGGCTAACACGTTACCTTGTGCAAGGTCATTCTTCTGGGTTTTTCACCTACTGTTCTTGTCATAAAGCACTACGAAGAAGCGCCTATCTCGCAGCAAACACCCTATGAACCTGGTCAAGGTGTAATCTTTCGTTACTTTGTATATCTTCTGAACAAGAACTTTATGGTTGACAGTATCATAGGCAGCACTAAGGTCTAAGAAAGCCACTCCGGTCACTAGCCTCTCTCATAACCATCCTCGATGTACTGCGTTACGTTGAGCATCTGACCGCAACATGACCTCCCTGGTCTAAAACCTGCCTTTTCATTGATTAGAGCCTTGTTCACGTAGTCTGAGATGCGTTTCAGTATCATTCGTTCCAGGACTTTGAAAAGATGGCAGAGTAGCGATATTGGTCGGTAGTTCTTAGCTTCTTTACCTGGTTTCAGGGGGACAACGACCCGGGCTTTCCTCCAACACTTTGGAATTTGCATGTTGGTCACGCAATTGTTCTTCAGCTCAAGATTCCACGTCAGTATTCTTTGGCCAAAGTGTTTGATTTTTTCGACTCTGAGTTCATCCATGTAAGCTGCTTTATTATCTTTTATGTCTTGCACAGCCTCTTTCAGCTCCCGAAGAGAGAAAGGGTGGATTAAGAAATTGTTTTCTTTAGCAACATTTCTCCCGATCTTAGTGTCCCTGAACTTCTTTTTGGATTTCCCATTTGTTAGTAGTTGGTGTGCAACTTGGTTTGCTGTGACAGCACTTAGTAGTGACTGTGCGCTAGTCGGATCGTTACTCAGGTTCTTGATTAATTTCCAAGCCTTTCTACTGCTGTGCTTCATATCAGTTTCCTCGAGTACTTTACCCCACTTCTCTCTTCTTCATTCCGAAATATCTTCTATTAGTTCTTGACCTGCTTCTATTGTTTCTTCCGAGAAATGTCTTGGTAGTAAAGTTCTTCGTATTTAGCTAGGAGCTCTTTAGAGTGTTAGTTCAACCCGGCAATATACTGTGTGCGGCATCCTCTCGAGATATATTTCCTGGATATTTTATGTACTAGGTCAACAAAATCATCATACGCCCTAGCATCAGCTCTGAGCTTAATGATATCGTTGTCAAGCTCTATTGCGAATAAGTCCCATTGAGCCCACTAGAAGTTGAACCGTCTTTTGAATGGCATTATGTTCGGCTTGACCGCTGCCATCACACAGCATGTTATAAGCCGATGTTGCATTCTTGGAATGGGTCCCTCAATCTTCTTTATAGCTTGCTTGGCAATTCTCTCACTGACGGAGATACTGTCCGAATTGTAGCTACGCTTCCTCCTGCCACTGTTGAATGATGTAGGGAGTTGTGGGTCGTGTATGAGTTTCAAGTTGCTGTGGTCTGTCCAGTTTTCAAACTTTTCTCCGTCGTCATCAGTTTCTACGTAGTCCCAGGAAGTGTTATGGCAGTTAAAATCTCCGATAATGATCTTTGTGTCTTTATTATGGTAATTAGTTGGAATTTGGAAGCTGAAGGGATTACCGGGTGGCTTGTACACTGAGTTTATCGTACATGCTTGGAGTTCGATTGTCAGAATTACTATCATTTTCGCACGTCAGGGAGGCAGAAAGCACATCTAAGCTTTGCTTTACGAATACTGCACTTCCATATTTCTCGAGAGGTCTTTCTAAAACCAGTCTCATTCCTTGGATCTTTGGTCTATGACTAGTTGGACCTCTGTGAGTCTCTTTTAAAGCTAAAATATCATAGTCGTTCCTTTTACATAGGTCTTTTAATAAAATTTCCTTATTTACAGAAAGTCCCTCTATATTGCACGAGGTTGTCAGGAGGGTTGGTCTTGATAAAGACCGTTTTAAAGACTCTGTGGAGGGTTGTTTTGGCATTTTCTTTGGATTATGGTGATCCGGTTGTTGAAGGATTGGCCGACACAGTTTCCTGTGTCGTTTCCAGGGAGCGCCCGATCGCTTTGCCGTTTTCGTGTAGAACGAGTGTTGATCATAATCTCCGTGGAGACTCCTTTAATGCCACCCAAAAAACCTAATGAATATCGGAATGAATATGAAATCGTGCCATTTTTTTTCGATTCATATTCTTAACTTCCAAAAATTCAATCTTAACTATTACGTATAGTTTCGAATATAAAAGAAACTCACTTTGTTTAAAACTAAATTTTAATGCAATTAAAACAATTGGTCCCATCGATCTCACGTAGATATGCCGATATTGAATCCTTATCTATTCAACACAATCGTTCCGATGGACATAAAATTTATACTTTTTCTAACATCGCAAGCGTGAAAGATGAAGACAACACTCATTTGCTTCAAGTCCCATAACATAGGCGTAATTAGGGTGGTGACTGGGGGGCTAAGCCTCCAAACTTAAATTGTAGTCCCCTTCCTTTCATAAATCATAATCCCATCAACGGTAGCTACATTTAAATTAAAATTATCGCTTTATTTTTATTAAAAACGTATTAGAAAATATTTTGTTCTTCTTTATTATTGGTAAACGATTATATTTCATAAGTTATGAACTGGACTGTATAAAGTACTATGCCGTGTAGTATTGATAAATTAAATGTAAATAAAAAAAAAGTATTCGTCACTTGGAAGAATAAATGTACACATTTTACTTTTGTAACATTAATGTATAAAATGGGGATAACGATTAACGAGGCAGAGCCCCCTCCCTTTTTTTTCTTATCGCTATAAAAATGCTAGGGCTAGAGCTCCCTCCCCCTAACTTTAAGGTAATTAGTTACGGTCAACGCCTCGTGGACGAAAACAAAACATAGAAAACGGAATCATTCTGAACGGTAGAGATTACCGATTGATTTGATTGTTTGGGTGGTGTTGTTCGACCGTAGTACCGACGAACACAACAAGTAAAAAACGAAGGACTTACCGTCCGATATCACAGGTGCACCCACCGTCGGCGCCCGTCACCTGCAAAGCTTGCTACTGTTCCTGTGCGTGTTCTGCGGCTACCTGCTCCGAGTGAACCTGTCCGTGACCATAGTGGCTATGAACCCCGAGATAAACTCGACGGACTACTACACGGAGTTGCAGCACCACGTGCCGATATTCGGGTGGCGCACGTCCACGCGGTCGGTGCTGCTCAGCTCGTTCTTTGTCGGCTACCTGTTGGCTAACCTGCCCGCGTCCGTGCTCGGGTGCCGGTTCGACAACAAGAGGCTGCTGGCCTACAGCATGTCGGTCTCGTCGTTGCTGTCCGTGATCACGCCGCCTGCGGTCACGGCGTTCGGTGCGGCCGCCATGGTGGCCATCCGGTTCACGCAAGGCCTATTCTCCGCGTTCATGTTCCCCATGGTGCACGGCATAATGGCCAAATGGTCGCCGCCGCACGAGCGCAGCCGGCTCGTCGGCTTCATCATCAGCGGCATACAGCTGGGCACCATGGCCACGCTCGCGCTGTCCGGCATGCTGTCCAGCAGCGATCTGGGTTGGCCGGCCGTGTACTACGTGAGCGGTGCCATCGGGCTCGCGTGGACGGTCGTCTGGCTACTGCTGGGCGCCGGCACGCTGGACACGCACCCGTTCATCGGCCAACCCGAGGCGGACTACATACGAGCGTCGTTGTCCAACACCGTCGACCACGATCTGAAAGTAAGCGCAGTTTACATCTCTACGTAGGCACCGTGCATGTCGTCGGACGGTGCGCGCAACGTAGGCGGTGATCCAACGGAAACTTAGGTGCGTTTCATGGACAATCCACGATCCATTGCGGACCTTACTCGTGTAACGTTCATTATTTTGTACAAGTTCTTTTATGGGGGCTTTATCAATCACTTAGTCCCCGTAAACTTCTCCCGATCACCACCAACGGGTTCGCGCATAATACCCCCGGTATGGGTGATATTTTCGAAAAAACTTCTTTTTTTTTTCATGTAAATGATAATTGTTACACTTATACTTACATATCTCTGTCACGTGGTCATTGGATTAAGAATATTATATATATATATATAATATTTAGTTCCCCGTGTTGGAGCTAGGTAAATTGGGTACCGGCTAATAATCTGATTGATTTTCAACGATAAAATGTCAATGTAATCTTTAATTACGCCTAGTTAAAATACGTATATTATACGATGCTACAGGAGGATGGAAAAGATAAGTTGGACTGACAGAATCACTAATGAAGAAATTTTAGGAAGGGTATCTGAGAGGAAATAAATGTGGAAGAATATACAGAAAAGGCGAAATAAATAAGTAGGTCATATTTTAAGACACGATAGGCTGCTAATTGGGATGCTAATCTTAAAAGAAGTAATCGGTGGATATTTTGTGATTATAATAGATATTAAAGAGTATATCTCAGCTGATGCTAAATTTCCCCCAAATATTTGGTCTCGATTTTCTGCTACCACCGTGCGTACAACCAATGGCTGTGAATCATATCATTCACGATTAAACCTTCGATTTTACATGCTAATATTTTTAACTTTGTAGACGAGTAATTAGAAATACAGTTAGAGATATAAGTAAAATTACAAACCAAAAATCAAAAAAAGAAAAATATGCCGGATAAAAAAACATAAACTAAGGAGCAAATGATAAAGTACCTACACTAATAATATAATAACCCGATTTGAGTTTGTTCAATCCTTATCATTTAAGTTTTTACCAAGCGCATCATTTATAATCAATTAATACTTATATTTTATATTTTATAACATGTATGTTTTTAATTATTATTTTTTTTTTATATTATTAATAAAATTAATTTGTTTTTGCTAGGACCCAATTTACCTACTACCTATTTTTCCTCGGGACTCAATTTACCTATAAAAGGTCATTTGGGACTCAATTTACCATTTCCCCCGTGTTGTGTACATTGTTTGTTTTTATTTCCGAAAATCTCCACTACCGTTTCGAGGGTTTTCAAATAAAAATCTATAATTACGAGGCTAAACCGTTTTGTTTGTACAGCTGTAAACAGTTCTAAAATCGGTATTCAAAACGATATGACGTGCGATCGTAATGAATTAATAATGCTATTGTGGGGGTTTAAATTACGATAAAACTTGCTTGTAGTACTTGCTCACCGATTCACCTGTTAACCATTATTTGCTTAAACGTAGTTAGTGATTTTAACTTTGTACAACATTTTATAAGTTTTATATATTCAAATAATTGTTACTTCAACAAATAATGACTAAAACGTAATAATATTTATTCCGATAAAAATAAAAATAAATTGCATGTACACACCTTGGTACATTTGAAAAATATAAAAACACTTTATCGATTTATTAACCGTAGGCCATTTTATTGCAACAACAGTTTGTTAATTTTCATAGCTTATTTATAAAATGCTGTATCATGTAGGGTACATCAATTAGATTTGCCCATAGTAGTCCTGTATATGCATCATATTACTATAAGGTTAAATACATTACTCCTGCTATTCTTAGCTCATTGTTAAAATGAAAACTATTCCATACGGGTGTTATGTTTTATTACCGATAACGTTAGACTACGTTGTCATGTATAATAAAATACAATTCAATAGCAAGTCTAGGCATTATTAGATTAGGAGGTACCTACTGAAGTTTAGATGAGACACGTAATCGAACGCAATACATTTATATTATTGATGATTTTACATGATCGGAAATTGGAAATCTGAAAAACACGCACTAACAATTATTAGGACATTTTAAATTGTTATTTATAGTGACTACTGTTTTTGTTTTTCATACTTGTTATTTATTTTGATAACTTTCTTTTACTGACATGATCAAATAAAACATACTGTAAACAATAAATTGCGAACATTGCTATAAAATATGTGACCATGAAAACCAAGTGATCAACAAAATACTCCACGATGATCAAAGTTGGTAGACCCACCTTAATCCTTCCAAGGCTCCTCATAAAAATGTAAAAATCAAATTATATTGCGATATATTAAATATTATGTAACATTATAACAGTTATTATATTAATAATTAATACAAGTAATGCCTGTGAAAATCATTTGCAATATATTATACGTAATCAAATTAAATGTATTCACAACAGTAGCATATTTATAGATTTATGTTAGGAATAGATGAAAAATTTTAAATTTTTCTTACTACATACTGTTAATCAATAGGTAGTCAAACATTTTTTTTATTTAATTCAAAATAAATCAATTAATATAAAAAAAAAATTATACTGCTGGTACACATTTTTTTTCTCTCTATTCTTCATCAATAAATTTGTATCGTTTTCTTTTATGTTTATATTAATGGTGATTAATATGTCTAGTGTTTGGTTAACAATTATACAGTAATTCATGTTTTTTTTTTTACAATAATTTTTAACCCCCCAGTTATTTTTAATGTTTTCCGAATTGTCATTTGGATTATCGTTTAACATTTCCTGTGTGTAGATTAAAGAAATGTTTTTGTCGTATAAAATAACCTTAGGTACCTCGACGAAAAAGGCTCCGGGAGATATTTTTACCGTAATATTTTCTTCGGCGATGGTGTTGACAAAGTATTGTAGCGACTATGAGAATTTTAAAAGACATCTAGAATTAAAGACTAATAAACATGTTGTATATGATATTTCAAAATATTAAATTTGTTTAGTGTATTTTATTTATTTTCTATGTTTGAAACATCAATTTCACAAAAAAGTTTTATCCTTAGCACGTGTATAGTATCTATAATTTTTTGCCGTTTAAAATTAAAATCTACTTTATAGTTTACGTCCGATAATTTTCAATAATAGTATAAGGACCTCTATATTTAATTGCTAGTTTTTTTGATTTGTTTTTCTCATTGAAATCGAATTTTATTATAACTTTTTGTCCCGTGTTAAAATTGAAATTTTTATGTTTTTTTATCATATTGTTCTTTTTGTATGTTTTGTTCTTTTTAAAAAATTTTAGGTGTAGTGTTTTTAATCTCTTGAAGTTGCTTTATGGTTTTTGTGAAGTCAAATAATTCGTTTTCTAAGGGTAATTTGTTATCAAACGGTTGGTTGGCTTTTATATTGTGAAGTAAATAAAATGGGCTTACTTTTAATCTTGAACTTGGACTTGTGTTATATACGAAAACGATAATTTTATAGTATTGTGACCAATCTTTTTCGTTTTCGTTTACATAATGTGATGAACTATTATAGATAATTTTGTTCATAAGTTTGGTCATACCATTTGTTTGCGGGTGGTAAGCGCTAGAAAAAACTTGCGTGTTGCCTAATTTTTTACACGCATAATGTACTTCTTTAGTTTTGAAATGAATGCCCCTATCGCAACCAAAGCATTTAGGTACACCGTAGGATATAATTAAGTCCATTAAGAAATTAACTAGGTAATGCTTCTCTGTTAGCGTTTGTAACCGCCATCGCGAAAGCCATTTTTTGTAGCGTTACTATAATAGTTGCTACAAAAGGAAACTTTCGTCTAAAAATGGGTAAGGATCATAAATAGTCAAATGTCAATCTTTATAAAGGTTTTCCTGAAATCCAAGGTATTGGTTGTAATAAGCCGTGGCCTTTAACTGTTGGATTTTTTTATAATTTGGCAAGAAATGCAATTTTTAATAAATTTTGTTATATTTTTAATTATTGTGAATCAATAATACTTGTCATAATAAGTGTCCACTAAAAACTGATTCATGGTAAGATTTTAGAACAATGTTAACTAAATTTTTAGTTATCACTAATAGATTATTTGATCCGCTGGGTGTCCAATTTTTATAATATAGTGGTTCATGTTGTATTAAATATTTCCTAAATTTGTTTGTAGAAATTTTTTTTTCTCCCAATAATGATAAAATTATACCATTACAAAATTCGTCTTCTGATTGTTGTTTTTTTTTTAATGTCTCAGAGGGTTTTATTGTGTTGAAATGAATAGTGTCAGGAGTTACGATTATAGTTATATATAGTTACGATTTCAACATTTTCGTCTAGTATGTTTATTTTATTGTAGTGTTAACGAGGTAACGTGACAGATAGTCTGCCCCTGTGTTCCGTGAACCTGGGCGATGTTTTATGTCAAGGTTAAATTCTAGTAATTTAAAAATAAATTTAGTTATTTGGGAAGAAGAATTTTTCATAGTTTAGTAATATTTTGGGCTTGAGTGATCACTAAAAATTGCTATTTTTTTCCAGTAAGGTATTGTCTAAAGTAATTAGTAGCGAATATACTGCGGACATTTATAATTCTGTATTATTTAAGTTTATTTCACCTCCCATTAGTTTCCTAGAAGCGTAAACTATTAGATGTCTTTTTACATTTTTGTCTTCCTGTTCAAGTATTCCCAATAGTCCTTCTAATGAAGCATCTGTGGTAACAAAAACTGGATACTCGTCTTTGAAATGTGCCATAACTGGTACTGTTTTTATCGCCTTTTTTAAAATTTCTAATGCTATTTCTTGTTCGTTTCCCCAGTTCAATTTATTTTCTTTTTTTGTTAAGTTTGTTAATGGATTAGACATTTTTGTGAAGTTTTTTTTATACATTTTCTGTAATAACTAGTGAGTCCAATAAAAGCTCGTACATCTTTAATTTTTTTTTGCATTGGAAATTTTAAAATTGCATTTATGTTTTTTTTTTTAATGGTTTTAATCCAACGTTAGAAACTGTGTGACCAGGTAATTCTATTTAAAAAAGGTACATTTATTTTTTTTTAATTTTAAAACAGTTACTTCTAACCTAATAAATATTTGTTCTAATCTAATTAAAGCTTCTTCGAAATTATTTTCGAAACAACATATGTCATCGAGGTACGCTATCAGATAATATATCACTAAAAATATTGTTTATAATCCTTTGAAAAATTGGGGCTGAGTTTTTAAATTCTTGCGGAATTCTTTTAAAATTAAACAATCAAAAATCTATAGTAAATCCTGTCTTATTTTGTTTTATAAGTCTCATCAAATTAGAAGAATATATACAATACTATCGCAATTATACATTTTTTACGATTATACCGTAATAAAAAAAAGATTATAGTAATTATATAGTGTAATTAAAAAATTTATAAAAGATTTATGCATTACTTAAAGGACAGATATGCAAAGTAAGAAATCGACAATGGTATCATCTAGTGATAATATTATTCTGCTTTTAAGATTAATAATAATAAAACCATCATAAATCATGAAAATAGTTTTATCTTATTTTATGCCACCGATTATTAGTTAATACATTGACAATATTAAAAAATAAATAATCCTTTACAATGCTCAAATAATTATAACATATCAGAACTGAACTGAATGTAACTAGTTTTTTTTTCAAACTTTCGATATTAATTAATTTAGGAGTTTTTTAAAAACTGATCAAAAAAGGTTTGAACTACTCGTAATTCTGTTCTGCAAATTAATGTGTTTATATAATAAGAATATTTGATACTATTATTTTCTGTGCTCGACTGGTCAAAATTAAAGAAAGGATATACATTTGCTTTTAAAAAAAAAGCGTCACCAAAATGTGTTAAGCGTTATAATTATAACATTATAATAATAGGGAGATGCTAAAATTTCTCAAAATTACTATGGATACTCTATCCCCCTGCGCCCACTCAAATCGAGCACTGTGTATTTTATTACTATGTTTGTATTCGAATATTTTAAAATTTGTATGTAAATGTAAACAATAAATTATACGTTACTTTTCGGTTTTTTAGCACGTCTTATTTGCACGGTATAATTTCTCGAAAAATGTATATAACTTAATTAAATATTATTAATTCGTTCGGAATCAAACATCGATGATACTTAAAAATATACTAATATATTTTTTCCCTTCAGTTTGATAAAAATAATAACAATGCGCATTAAATATACTTACAACATTTTAATATCATTAAAATAAAGATTGATTTTATACGTTAAGTTTTCAGATATTCCATGGAAATCTATATTCACATCAATGCCAGTATGGGCCACATCAGTAGCACACGTTGGCCACAACATGGGTTTTTGGCTATTGCTCACGGAGATGCCAACTTTCATCCATACAGTGCTCAAGTTTAATCTTAAGGAAGATGGTATTCTATCATCGTTGCCTTATTTGTTCATGTTCCTATTACAGCTGCCGGTTGCTTTTTTGTCTGACTTATTGAACAAACGAAAAGTGACTTCGCTAACCGTGTCTAGGAAAATGTGGAACACAATATCTATGTGGGGAGGCGCTGTCGGTCTTGTTATACTTGGTTTCGTAGAAGACGCTAAATATACCATTGCGCTCTATGTGTTCATAGTAGCTATAGGTTGTACGTCTAATGTCGGGTTCAATATAAACCACTTGGATCTATCACCCAACTACGCAGGGCTTTTAATGGGAATCACCAACACGCTCGCATCATCTGGAGGAGTTATCGCTCCTTTGTTCGTTGGACTCCTTGTTGACGACCCGGTAAAATCTTTGATTTCGAAAAATATCTATTTTGCTACAAATACGAATAAATCGATAGAACATTAAATATAGACTTCAGTTTTAATTACCATTGGCTATTTTAGTGAAATTATTTTCAATAAGTATATTTATTTTAATAAATTTATTCGACCTAAAGATTGGATTTATAAAAAGCTTTGAATTATGCCGTTCTGAAAATCTACATTTCAAAAAATAAAAAACTATACTAATTATGAATTTCAAAATATATCGAGTTGATATTACTTGTAAAACTTTTAATATCAATATTTGTTTCTCAAGAAATTCAAGCAAATAAGCAATGTGATGCAACTTAAGTACTAATAGTTTTGATTAGTATTATTGTACTTCAATATTTATACTAATTATTGACAACTTCTTAAACTAAATAATAAATAATCGATTAATTTATTTTTCAACATCGCATAATTATTTAAAACTTTAAAAATTGCAAATTTACTTTCTAAATACCATTTTTAATTTATTTTAAGTTAAGATCATAGGCAAATATTGAAGTAGATATTTAATTATCCTAGTTAACACAATATTATAATATTATTTTATAAATATTTTAAAGTTATTTCTACAAGTGAATGTTACAGTTTTTCTTTATAATTTCCATTTAATATATTAGAGTATAACTTGGTAGCCCAACCTCTTAAAATTAATCCCAATTATTCTATAGCGCTTCAATTATAAAGATCAATTTTTTTTTTATTTTAACTATAATTCAATTTGGTATAATTTATTTTAGACTTCAATTGAGGAATGGCGTACAGTATTCAACAGTGGAGCAGTAGTAATGTTTGTATGCAATTTGTTTTTTATAATATTTGGTTCAGCTGAAACTCAGCCATGGAATTCATTACATAAAGGTAAGTGTAAATAATTTCAAGTATAAGTAAAAGAAAACTATTATAATTTCTTAGTAATTTAACATTCGATTTTATCAATTGTTTTCATTAAAATCTAAAGATATAACAAATGTATTCAATTCTGTAAAATAATAAAGTATAATTAGTTAATGATCGTTCAAGAAAATAATTTTAAACCCATATAAATAAAATAACTCATATCTAAAAAAAAAATAGGAATGACTACAGGATGATTTTGTATTTTTTTTATTTTTCTTATGGTTAAGAAAACTAAAGAGAGGATGGAAAATGTTTAGAGTTTCATTAGTGTATAATATTTTTGATTTAAAAAATAGGGATATCCAAAAAGTCCGATCAGAAAAAAAAACCTAAAACTAATAAATTCTGGACTTAAATCGGAATCAAAAAGATTCATTTTATTGAAGCTTTTAATGAACATTAAATTTAATTTGAGCGATTACATTTTAGTTCATAAGTGAAACAATAAATATATTGGTTTTAACATGATGTGTCTATTTTTTCGACCAGAATGATTGCTCCGATTAGATTAAGAAGTAAAAAATAGGAAATGGATTCTAGTTCATACTTTGAAAATATTTTAAGGTAATAATTTGATAACACAAGAGAATATTTTTTTTTTTGCAAAAGATAGGACAAAAAAAGTTCAATCTACCTTTTTAAAAGATATTGATTCTAATCTCGTATCGATTATCTTTAGATATATCGATCTCACCTCTTTCATTTAGAATTTTTTTTTAAAGAGCAATAGTACAATGGTTTCATGTTTAAATTATCAATACAATAATATCATTTTCGTATCTCATTTGACCATGGAGTTTCACCCGACCTTGTAGTTTAGCCCATTTTTATAATTATTAATGTATATATTATACTTTTAGTTAATCAATCTAACATAATTTCTAACGTTTTAGATACTCCAAAAACAAATAAACAAGACATTGAAATTATCGGATAGAATGTATGCGATGTACGTGTGATTGCAATTCAAGAATAACTGGATTACCTTTAAGGTTTTGAAAATTTTACTTCATATATTGCATTACATCAGTGATCATAATATAATAAAGTTTGTTATTTGAAAAATCGTTTCACTTTTCTTATGAATACTTATAATTCAAAATTAATAAAATTGTACTTTGATTTATTTCATAAATGCATTATTTTATTACTTATTAATTATTAAAAAATTACTGATCACAGTGATCTGTATTAATTTTTAATTATGTAACACTTACTTCATTTGTGACACAGCAAATAGTTTATTCGACATATTTGAATCAAGAAAACATATTATATAAAGCATTCATCCCGGATCAAATTAAATCCATCATCAAAATGATTAAAAAAATGAATTATATTTTTTAGTTAAAATAACTCATCACATTGTGATCTTTTATTTTTCATTATACCTATGTTATTATAAGTTCAGTCATCAGACCGTACCAAATTTTTAGTATTGTTATGCATAGTCGGTTTCATAAAATATCAACCAACTCTAAAAAATATGATTGTACATGCAAATGTAACATGAGCATAGTAAAAAAAAATTTAGTCATTTATTATTAAACAAGTATAAACAATTAAATACGGTGTGAAATAACTGTCTAGAGATCATTTATATTTAACATACGAAAAATATCATAAACTTTGTTGTTTCCTAAAATTAAATTTAAATGATCTGTACAAAAGAAATACTAAACAATTCTAACTCATAAATAATACATAACAAAATACGAATATTATGCTGCATTCATTTTCTCTTTTGAGTATAATTTAGAAGAACATGGTTACCCAGTTTAAAATATGATTTTGTAAATTATGAACAAAAATACTTATCAGACTTCGAAGAAACGTAGACATAAAAATAAATACATGAACGTAATCTTCAAAATAAAATCACAAATTTTAGTGAGTGTTTAATTTTATAATTATTTTTTTTCACCAGGAACGTTTAATTATAATATTTACTCATCTTATGTTTTAAGTGTTTGAATAAATTACAAGTACTTGTACAATTTACATTTACTATATAAATGACATAGTAATATAACCTAATATAACCATGGTTTAGCATTTTTTTATTATTAATTATAATTACAGGAATGTACTAACACTAACATGCACTACTTACATATTGTACGCTGAGCCTGTTCTTTTAATTTTCAATGACTTTGAATAATATTACATTGAACCTACACTTGTTCAAACTAAACAAATTCTTTAAGATAATACAACAATGAAAATTGTTGAGTAGGTATTTTGTTATTAAGTAATATTAATTTTAAAAATATATACAATATAATCCTTGTTGAAATAAACATTTATTGTATGTGCTTCACTTTAGTATATTCAAATAATACAGTATATAAATAAATAAAAAAACATTTTGGCTAAATAATGGTAGAGACTAATAACTGCATTTAACTAAACAATTTTTTATAATTTTAAATTCTAACTCACAAGATAATAAGTAATATATTTATTTAAAAAAATATTTAATTAGGTTTCATAAAATTTGTGATATTAGTGGTGGAACATATGTAGCCGGTACCATGAGGGCTGGTAGATTGATCAAGTCGATAAATGTCCGATATGAATCACTAGAATTAAAATGTATTCAATAAATTATTATATGAATACAATGACTACATATAATATTATAATATATATAACTGATATAAATAATGTTTCATTTTGAATGCTTTAACGTCATATAATTCTGAAATGTTAATAGAAACTTCGAATCCCACATAATTTTTAATTTTATGTAATTTGAATTTGATTACTAAATTTTAATAATCTTAGATTGATGATATATATTTTTTATCACCCCTTAAAGCCATAAAAAATAATTATAAAAAAATTAAAACTTTAATAATTCTAAACGTTATATTTTAAAAGTTTCTATCTAAAACTTATACTGTATATTACTCTATACATATTATACTCTAATAAATAATTACCTTAAAGTCGATCTTAGATATTCAGAGCCAATAGTGCCACCCGTACCAGAATTATGCGATCCGATCATTTTATGTACCATAACGAAATGACAGACTGTTAAATAACTTGAAATTAATAATCATTAAGTATCATAATATGTATATCTATTATATATGTTTTATGCATTATATATTTATTTCAATCACATAAGATTAATGATATTATCAAAATATTACTTTGTAATCTAAAAATAAAATTAATCAGCTACATAATTTTAAATTATTCGTTGTCTATGGTAAGTATAAAAAAATATTATTTTATTTAAATTATAGAACAAATATAATTTTGTATGAAGAATTTGCGTTAATCAATATTATTTAAGAATACAATTAATGCAAATTAAATAAAATAAATGAAAACATAGATATGCTTAAGGTTATAATTATATATTTATAATATAAGCCAAGATCTAATCCACTGGGATTAACGTCCGCACACGTGTCACCATGTGGAGAGAAGTATAAATCACAGATTCACCTCGTGATAATAATTATTGATAAAAACTTAAGGATACATTCAATGGTTCATTTGAAAAAAAAATATAGTATAATAAATGATGATCAATAAATCATTTGAAACTTTTTATATTCTAAGCGGATATAATTTACAAAAATAGGTGTTGAAATTGGTAAAATTTCCCATTTAGGTATATACTGTACATAATTACAGAATAAAACTTGAATAAAAATATTTTATTAGACCTAGCTAATTATTATTTACTATTTAATATACTATTTAGCATTCATTATTCATTAATTATAATTAATAGTTAAATAATAGAATATTTACATCTCCACTTGGATAACATGGTATCGATATCCACCAATGAGTCTAATATTCTGTTGGCTAAAGCATATCCTTTTTCATGTCGGTAAGTACGAAGAATTATAGCACCCTTTAGTGCCTGATGAGTAAACTTTCGATTCCCCTGATCTACCAAACGTTTATGCTGATCACATTTAAATAATGAGTCCATAAGATCTCGACGTTTCTCCAGGCATGATATATCAGTCTAAGTACAATTTTAATGGATTAATTAGTAAACCAGAAGTAATTTAAAGATAATACGTTAAAATGTAAAGTACAAGTAATAATAAAATAATAAAACATCGATACAACTTAAATAATTAAAATGTGTACGCCAGTCTAGAATGATCATACGTCATGTTTTATATAGAACTGTACTTTATTTCAACTTTGTGTCCTGTTGTCCAGACAAACTTCTTTCAGAACACTATATATCCTGTATTTTTTAGTCTTTCCCGAATAATCTGGTTTTTTACCTTATCTACTGTTCATTTATAACTTTTAAATTTATTTTATAAAATATTGTGGTTTTACGAAATTTTTGTATAAAATTATTGACTGGAGTATAAGAATCTATACTTTTCAATTGTATTTTTGGATTCTTGTTTTTACCATAAATATTGCTGCATCACATTATTGTCGGCAACATAGGCGATTTGACATTTTTCAGTTAGTGGTTCAAGTATAGTTAATACCACCCACCCACCTACCAAAAAGTCATACTAGATACAAAACTTACCTAATTTGTATTAAATCATCAATTTTATATAACCTACCGCTGCCAGACGCCAAGACCAAGTACCCACCTATTAAAATGACACCCACCCCAAAGTTGTTGGTGGTTCAGTGAACCACAAAATTCATAATCAAGCCGCCCCTGGTCGGCAATGTAAGCCGTACGTATTTTATTTACAGAACGGTCGCGACTAGTTCGTTATCAAATGTTTATTATTATTATTGTTATTAAATTTAATATTTTATTTTATTTTATCAAATATTTGGAAGATAAACCTTTTAGCACATATATACGCATTCATTTTACAATTTATAATAGATGTTCAAACACAAACACTACACGCACCAAGTTATCTAGGTATACCTTGATTACTCGACCTAAGTGCCATTCCGTGGTAGGTCGATTTGCGGCTTCGACAACAACCTCGAAATTTGGAGATGGTTTTGACCAATTTAACGCGCTTGCAGTGTAGTATTCGCGTGAGCACCGCTTCCAATAAGATTGGTGACACTGTTGTTATAAGTTGCCGTCGATTTAATCGGTTAGTTTGAACATCGATGATATCGAAATCGAACAACGCATGAATCGGTTGTCCTATCAAAAAATATAATCCGGGCGTTAAAGCACCCTGATCATGAGGATCCGAAGAGATGGGTGTGATGGTTCGCGAATTGAGTATATCCTCTATACTAATGTTTGAAATTCCTCATAAGTGAGTACTTCAGTGTCAATGACATGCTTCAGATGAAATGTACTTTTTATTTCTAAATACCGCCGAAATAGAGCGCGGCAGGTGGGTTGAAGTGCCAAGTATATTTTTAATGTGACACAATTCAGTTTTATTCATTGACATCTCAAAGAAAAAACGCTTTCAGATGACGCGCGGCCCCGACGTCGTTTTTACAGTAGTCAGAATAGATATTTGCGGGAATATCGTGACGTACGAAGAAACGCAGTGAGAAATGCGTCTGTGGTTAGATCACTGAAGACCTCCAAATGGACGGCCTTTACACACATGCATACAAACAACGCTAAGTACACCTTTGTTGTTTTTGTTTTTGCGCACGTTTCGTCGACGGTATTTGCTCACCGTGGACGGACCTCCGTAATCCATACTGACGTGCGAAAATGGCTTACGTGGCTGGACGCGAAACAACGGTTGATTGGCCACGAAAAATGGAAAAATCGGATAACGTAAGCTAGGACTCTTTGCATTTTGGCGAGTGAAGAAAAGCGGTGAAACGGATCTAACTAAATGTACGCGCACATACATTTTCAATTCAAACATTTATACATATTAAACCGATTAGTGTGGCAGTTACCGTTACCGGGAATTATACCAATTAAAAATAAAATAAATAATAATACAACACTGATGGACAGTCGACTTAATTTACTACCCAATGGGCAATGAGTAAAACACTCAATTTTTTCGAATAATTCAATTAATTTTCTTTTGATAAATATGTCTGGTACCATTATTTGGATTATTAAAACCATTCGATTATGTTGATAATCGAATCATTCGGTTATTCCTATCCCATTAATAGTATATCCGGTGGCTGCGTGACCCTTGACTGTGATGTCTGCGGACCTAACAGTTGGACATTTGATAACGAGTGACATCGATATGACATGGTGAATTTAAATTATATATGAACGGTTAATCGAACAAAAACTGTTGTCACTCACAAGACAGATGTACAGTTAATGGATCGTCCCATTCGAGTTTTTCGGAACACAATTGTTGCATAAAACATTTTTCCCACAGCATCGACAGACCTAGGCACCGATAGGATCAAATAACCGAGTAATAATAGAAAGCACCTTTCGTTTTGTGGACGACACGTCGCGACGTCGCTTGAACTCGGATGTGATGACGGCGGTACCGGTCGGTTATTTTAGAAAAGCCGGTTGTCGATAGGCGATACACTGCTGGTTCAAGCTTATCATCACAGGTACGCACTGTCTGATTTGTACGTACCTGCAAAAGCTTTTTGAACGGGTTAATCAGTTCCCAACTGATACAATAAAGAAGATTGAAGGTGATCATTTATCGACATGTGAGGTGTATGAAAGACTAGAAATGTTAAGTGGTACAATAAAAAATCGGAAAAGTCAACATTTTTTTTAATCAGTGCCTCATTATTAGCTATCATTAGCTCAACTTATTTCAGATCTTGATAATAATACTCTGTAAAGCGAAAAAAAATGTATTGAGGCAATGGATGAGTTTTATGACACGTTTTTATCTTATATGGAAAAATTTCGAATGGGATGTTACTTTGAACCACTAAAAGTTTTTCGTTGGATTCAAAACTATAAGAATAATTCAAAAGCTGAATGTAGGTGGTGTGAAATATTTAAAATTCTAGTAAAAAATAACATTCCCATTCAATATGTTATGATTATTTCAGAGTATTCATTGGCTATTCCCGGAACTAATGCTTCGGTAGAAAGAGTATTTTCAAATTAAAACGTTTTATGGTCAGTTGAAAAAAATCGATTTCTTATGAACACAATTAGATCGATAATAATCGTAAAAAACATTTTAAAAATATTTCATGTATAGAATTTCATAAATTTCTTCTAGAATACCCCAAATTATTAAATTGAATTAGTTCTTCATAATAATATGTAATATTTAATAGTGAAAAAATGTCGCAACAATCGTCATCAAAGTGAATTAACAAGTTTTTTAAAATAATTAAAGTACATGAATAAAGGATCTGAGGACATTTTAAAAAATATTAATTTAATTATGTTATTTTATGTTTTTACTATAATGTTTTTATTTATTTTATTTTAATCCTTTATAGTTTAAAAATTATATTTTTTCACAGTTAAAAATCAACAAAAACAAAATATAAAAAATTTAATTTTGTCCTGTATTTAATTTTTTTTAAATATGGTCACTCTACTTTAGTCCAGTAATTTATAATAATAACTAGAGACTGGATTCTCGTGCAATCGCAACTTTTTTTCCTTTGTTTTAAATCATATAAAAACAAATTATAAATCCGAATCATGAGAAGCAGATTAATTTAAACATAGTTTTATTTTGCACGAAATTGCACGTTTTGCACTTTTTATTCTAAATTGCATGATTTTGATTTTCGTTGCATGAAATTGCATATTCTGTATTTTTAAAATTTAACTAGATAATATATATATGTATATAAGTAGCTAGATAGGTATATACAATTATATTACCTACATACAGGTATGTACGTAAATATTTGTTTATTTCAGTTTTTAACTATACAAAAGGAAAAAGTGAACCCAAGCTGCTAATATTCTTAGAATAACATAAATTTATTAGTGTTTCGTGGTAAAAATAAATGATAGCAACTACTAATTAGATAATGAATTAAATCTCCGGCCATTAGCACTTTAGTTTCTGTCTGACTTTGTGTTTGAGTGTTTCTTAAATTGGTTAGTGTCGTGATAGTTTCATTACGAATAATTTACGTAAAAAAATATAAACAAATTTATAAAATGGCAAAAATTGGGTCAAGTCTGTCATCAGCAATTAAAACCTGGATATCAAATTACCCAGAGTTGAAATCTGATGGGAAATCTGTTTTATGCGCTTCTTGTGAAAAATCAATCGGATGTGAAAGGAAATCTCAAATTGATGCTCATTGTAACACTGGTAAGAAACAATATTTTTATTTAAGAATTAGGCATCAATTTTTTATTATTATTTTTCGTTAGCTATTCACCAGAATCAATTAAAACTAATAAAAACAAACCGATACAACAACAAATTACAAATTCTTTTGAAACATCAAGCAGCCAAAACCAATTTTATATTGATTTGTGCCAGGCTTTAGAAGCAAATATACCATTTTTCAAACTGCAGTCCCTTCCGTTTAGATCCTTTTTACAAAAATATACAAATAAAAGTATACCTGACGAGAGTACACTCAGGAGAAAGTATCTGCAAGTTTGTTTCGATTCAACTATGGTTAAAATTCGTCAAAAAATTGGAGAACATTATATATACGTTATGGTCGATGAGACTACTGATGCTAGAGGACTTTATGTATGTAACCTTTTGGTTGGAATTCTTCACCAAGAAATTGATCCCACACCATTTTTAATCGCCTGTAAGGTTCTCCCTAAAACAAATTATGACACTGTCTCTCAATTTATTAACGACAATCTGATGAATTTTTTTTTTACAAAATTCAGATTATCAGTATAAAGTGCTTCTCCTTGTAACAGACGCGGCACCTTATATGATAAAAACTGGACAAGCTTTGAAAACATTCTACCCAAACATGATCCATGTAACCTGTGTAGCCCACGGGTTAAATAGAGTATTAGAAAAAGTCCACGAAATTTTTCCAGAAATAAACAAGCTGGTAAATAATGAGGAAAAAATATTGCTTAAATCACCGCACCGAGTAAAGGTATATAAAAATATTATGGAATGTGAACTACCACCGGAGCCTGTGATCACAAGGTGGGGAACATGGTTGGAAGCAGCTTTATTTTATGCGGAAAATTTTAATAAATTTAAAATATTTATTAATGCATTGGATGAAGACGTACAGACTATCAAAAAATTAAAGAGAATCATAACTTCGGCGTCAATAATTTCTGATTTGACTTTAATAAAATCACATTTGTCAACTTTTCCCCAGACGTTAACCCAGTTAGAAACTCGAAATGTATCCCTCAATAAACAAATTGAAATATTTGAAACTATAGGAGAAAGTCTTAAAAAAATAAATAACGAGAAAGGACAAATTATGGCTCACAAATTTAACTCCGTTGTGGAAAAAAACATAGGTTACGCTCTCATTAAAAAATACAACGATTGCATAAATGGTACGAAAAATATAAATGTTGAACAACAGCCTGCAATCGTCGCTTGCTACAAAATGAGTCCTATCACTTCTGTTGAAGTAGAACGAATATTTTCCAAATTAAAAGACATATTGAGTGATAGAAGGCACAAATTTTCTGCACACAATTTTGAAATGTATAACATTGTAAATTTTAACTCAATAAAAAAATAAATTTTTTTATGTATGTATAATAGTTAAAATTAAAATTAAATAGTTTAACTCTGTTGGTATGGTTTTTTTTATATATGTATATATTTATATTAATCTTTTAATTATTAGTTACTCATTAATTTTTTGCTAATTCTGTAATAGTGTAAAAAACTGGATAAATAAAGTATAATTCAAGCGTTTAAATCAATGTACTTTGAATGTTTACAAAATTTTGGAAAGTATTAAGCGATTTTAAAAAAAAATACATTTTTGCACGATTTAGGCACTTAACTGCATATTTTTGCAATTTTTAAGTTATTAACTGCACATTTTTTTGATTTTTACTGCATGAAAATCCGGTCTCTAATAATAACTATTCCTAAATATAACAATGTTTTTAATTTTATTAAATATACGTCTATAAATTATAGAGTTGAAAAGTTTACAGATCATCGATTGTCCAATTTCAGAATACTTACTCAATTATTCACTTCATAAAACTATAATACCTACTGTGACATTCAACATCTATTTAGGCTTTTTATCACTCATGCAATATGATAAAATTATACAAACAATTCAAAATCCATAAGCTTTAGATTAACTATGTTACATTTTCAATTCATTTAATTTTTATTGCTCTCACACGCACTTATAGGATTTACGCACCTACGGATTTTTTATTCATTACAATAATTCAATGTTAGTCAATGTTAACCATTAGGATTTAAACTGAAAACGTGTCTTGTAATGAATAATTTAAATAAACTATAAAAGCAATCACCAACAACTAACTTGATAATGTAAATAAAAATTGCAGGTATATATAGGTCCTACACCACAAACATCGGTTCTTGGTGATTTAAGAAATTTATTAGCATCTGAATATTAAATTTTAACAAAACAATAAAAACTACGATTTTTGTAGTTAAAAAGTCATAACAATTTTAATTTTTAAACTTAAGGCTTGGAAATTGAATACAACATTTTTTTTAAGATTTTATTTGTAATCAAAAAAAAAAATAAATAAATAAATACTAGATAGTCAAAAAAATAATTTATAAAGGTTACAAAATAAAAATTTGACGAAATCGGATATTACAACAAATTTCCATTAAACGATATAAGTTACTTAGTTGAAGAAATTTTTCAGTTTCGAAATATTTTAATACATTATGTGATGTTAATAGGCATTTAACATTTTCGATGTTACTATATTTTACATGTATTTTTTTAATAAATATTAGGACATTAAATTGTCAACCTATTTTATAATGAAATTTGGTTCTTCTACTATATCAACCGTCTCAAGAGTTATAAATTGGTCTACTCTACCTGTTTCACTAAATCGTTTTTACTAGAGCAATGGTATATTTATTTCAAGTTTGAAAAACAATACAGCAATACTGTCCTCCTATCACTATGGGTATAGGTACCATGAATCTCACCCGATCTAGGAATCTCACTCGTTTTTAAATTAAAATTATATTATAGTATTAATTAAATCTCAATTAAACTGTATGATAAAATAAAGATTAAAATATTAATGGTTTACATTTTAGTTGTAGTCTACTGTAAATTTGAATTAATAATACATAGTAGTTTAAAATACTACTAAAAATACCTCAGTAGATTCTTCTAACCAAAGATCAGCAGCTCTTCTATACTGGTCCCATATGGTATTATCTTGTAGAACCGGCATAGATTCCAGCCAGCGACAGACCAAAGTTAGTAAATTTGGTTCGGTTAAAGTCCGTTCGAATTCTTCTGATTTTTTTCCATTAAAACAATCAGTATATGATTTACAACAATCGACGCGATTTTCCTTGCAAATTAAAAAAAAAAAAAACAATACAATTTATTTTCCATTTAAAACTTTAGCTCTCAATTAGTATATTTTTACTATTAGATTTTACGATTTCTTCTAAAAATTAAATCATATTATATAGAAAATTTTGTAATAATACGTTATATACAAAGACCCCTCTTAGCATTATTGACAAAATAATAGTTTTAATTAAATCAATATCTCTAAATTTTTAAAAATCGAATTCAATATTATTTATACCTAAAATATGGCTGTTAATACTTTCGCTTAAGGAGTAGTAATTTATTCCATTATAGCAGAAAGACAACTGACTATGGCTTCCGTTATGAGACTCTCAGATTTTTATATAAATTTGTTCTTTTAATTCAATTTTCATCGAATAAAATAAATATCAGCAAAATATAATATTTTAGAGAAATATTAAATATATACTTATAACATTGTAATTTTGTTTGTGAAAATTTAAAGTGAATTGTAATTATTAATTTATTATGTAACTCATGTGCGAAGAGGGGTGCATATATATGCTACTGTTGACAAGGGGCTACATTTTTATTTTTCCTAAGGCTTCAAAATGCCTAAATCCGCTCCCATTAACAATCTACAAAAACAAGCATTCCAAAAATATTCGAAAAATTAATAAGCACTATTACTGCAGTGACATAGTTCAGCAAAAATAGTCGTTGATAGATTAAAACCGTGTAATGGAAATAGGTTCCTATTTATGACTCAATTATAGTCTCGAATATCTTATTATAGTGTGTCTACTAATCTGTAGGTTTTCAATTTAGAGTTTGACTTTTACAAAAAAAGAGATTAAGGAACGAATTAAACAATGAGGAAGATTGGGAAAATTTCAAAGATTAAAAATGAGTCAGTCCAACAATGGGAGTATAATAAAAACAATACAATTTAAAATATTTAATAAATCAATATTAACACAATACATAAGTAATGTGTTACAAAAGTGATCTTACATATGATACATTTCATAAAAGTAATTTATACTAAAATATCTTAAAATAATAAAAGAGTTAGCAATGTATTTAATTATATTATTATTCACTGTAATATTCTTATATAATTTTATTTAATTGAACGTTAATTACCTTCATAAAAAGTTCACAGATATTTCTCTCATAATTTTATTTTTTATTTTTTAGTATGAACAGCAAAATAAAAAAATCAATTACAAAATTATATAAAATACGTTAAAAAAAAAAAAATACTATCTAGTTTAAATTGAAATGTACTCCTACTATCTACATTGATGTGGAATTTCGAATATTGAAATTGAGATATAGGTATACCGTTTTTTTAAGTACTTACCATTAGTTAAAATTGATTTTCTAAAAATAAAATATTTGTCAACATATAATAAAAACTGATCTCTGATAGTTTAGGATCATTATACTCGTAAACTATAAACAATCTTTTGAATCTATTAGGTTCTTCACTTTTAATTGTTTATTATAATAATACGATGTAATGTGTAAATTTAATAAAAAATCAAAATCGAAATTGCAAAACTTAATGTAATGTTAAATTGTGAAAACCAACCTAGATTAGGTAATCTATTTGAAGGAATTCAAAGTCTGACTGTTTTCCTCAATTACACAAATATTTATATTAATTTATGATACATTTTATTATAAATAAATAATAATTAGTTATTCCATAAAGTATTTAACAAGTGTTATATTATATTTTATCAGTTAAATATACTCCTAGAAGTATGTTTATTATCATATTCTTAAGTAGTATACCTTTTTCAGTCCGAATTTATTTTCAATCATACGGAATTGGAGACTCTGGAAGCCTGATGCATGTTTCAAGTATCCACGAAATTCAGCAAAATCTGAAGAACTCATAGTCTCCAAAATACTAAAATGTTCTAGTAGTAACTTGATAAAATACAAATATCATAAATTATTGACATGTATATATAATAACCATAACAGTAAATAAGAAAATACATATTTAATACGTGAAAGAAAAATATTGAGAAAAATCTTTGGACTAGTTAAGGATAACATCAGTGGAAAATGGAGAAGAAAAAAATACAAAGCTCGAATTGATATTCCAAAGCACAATCATAAGGGAAGTGATAAAAATCAATGATTCCAATGGGCAAGCCATTCCTGGAGGAAGCAAAATGAATTAATAAAAACAGTGATGGAGCAAAATCTGCGTGGGAAAAGACCAATTGAAAGACACAAAACAAGATGGAAATATTAAGTCAAAAAGAATATACAATCTCTATATGGAGGAACGAATTAGAAAGAAAGAGCAATAGATAAATAAAAATGGAGGAATGGGTATGAGATGGAATGTTCTTGAAAGGCCTTTTTAACCATAGAATAAAACAGTAATTAATACTTGTCGAATGTTGGCTATTCAACCGTTTGCTAATGAAAAAACCTTATAAGTGTAAAACAAATGAATTCTAGTAACATTTCTAATTTTTTTTTCAACGTAAGGATTTTCCTACAGATTTAAAATTCAAAACTTGTTTTTGTTTTGCATAAATTTACCTTAAAAATTGATGAAATTCTACCTAAACGTTTTAGAGCGTTACACATTTCAGTCTCGTTATTCTAAAAATTCCATCAAAATATTTAATTAGAATATTATATTTTCTAAAACTAAATTACAAATTATTTGTTACAAAAATGCAACAAAAATATTATTCGGATACATACCCAAAGATTAGCGACCAATAATTTACAAACAATGTCCATTTCAAATAAAATTTGTTTGAACCATAATTCATAGGCTGAAATAAATAAAATTATAACACATTAAAATAATTAAATTTAAAGCATTTAATTAAGCATCAATGTATGATTTTAATTACTATGTTAAATAATTAAATATTTTTGATAAATTGTATAATATTAAATTAAATTGGTCTTTCATTTAAAACTATGTTTTGTCACAAAAAATATATAATATACCTAATATAAAATAGGTACATATTATTCTTGTATGAAATGATCAACAAAGTATAAAAAATAAATACTGAAGTCTTTGTAAACTGAAAATTATTAAATAATAATTAAAAATATAAAACTGTAATTCTATAAACTCTAAATATTTATTTAACTGAAAAGGTAACTGTAATTATCATCTGATAATAAAAATGTTTTAGGAATCAAGTCATATTTGGATCTTGCAAAATGTTTTCAACATTTTTTGTCTAATCAAAATTATTTCATGGATATTTTACAAGAAAATTTAAAAATGACTATAAAAATTTAAGTCATAAGAAAATAAAATATTTTATAAAATAAATAATGTTATTCTAAATATATTACTGTTAATAATACAAAATAAAACGGTGATAAATAAGAATATTATTATTTGCTATAACATACTTTATTTTAAATTTTTAAAAAATATATAAGATAATTTGTGATGGTTTAATCTGTAAAGTATTATTATTATTTTATTTAAATTTAAATCATCAAACTAGAAAAGTTAATAGTATTTCATATATTGTTTATTTAAATTAAGACATTAAGCATAAATACCTTGATGTGTTATTATGAAGAGATGCTCATCATAAGAAACCCTATCATTTTGTGAGCTTAACATGGTTTGCGAACTTAACAGTTTGTCGAGTTGTAAATAATCAGCATAGCCTTTGGACAATATATTAATTTGTTTACACCTTCTGCTAAATCAATTTAATTTAATTTCACACATTAACAAATTTTAAATTTTATAAGTTATGAAGGGGTTATAAAAATATACACTTACTTCTTTTGCTGATCATTGATTCTGTCTATACCATTCATGTAACTCATTTTAAATTAAATTTTCTAATTTATTACTTATTGACAATAATAATGAAATAACAAATTGTACACTTTTCTATATCCTTCTTTACTGAATGATGAAAAAAACCGATGTCCTACCTACTAGTTTGTAGAAGTAAAGGTTCGCTCGTTTTAGAAGTTAAATATGTAATGTGTAGCGAAAACCCACTGAGGTAAGGCTTATAGCAAAAGCATCAAAGTAATATAATATCTTGTCCAAGGCAACATAATACACTCGTAGGTTCCAAATGAAAGTCCTGCAAGTATTGAGTTATATTTTCACGATTTGTTACATAATATAAATTCATGGGTTTTCTTTAAAATTGCATAGTTTACATAATAACCGATTACGTACGAGTATAACCCCCGTATTATAAACTATCAAACTCAGATTTTTCAAAAATAAATTATAAAACCAAAAAAAAAAATCCCCGACTATGAAAAAAATACTTGATAAAAAAAAATTAAAAAAAACGTGAAACAAAAAAAATTACATGAAATAAACTAAGCAGGGAAAAATTAATTTATGATTACTATTGGTGTTGATTAAATTAACATTAAATTCCGTTATAGTTGGGTGTCCTCTATAATAATGATGACTACATTCAGTTAGTATATTACTGTATATGTAATGATAAAATTTCTTCTTTGGCCATCAAATGTCCATGTTTTAATTTTATAAAACTGATTCTTAGTGTATTTATTACTGTCTATGCTGAAGTCGTAGTTTAACTATTATTGTTAATTTATAAAAGGATAGGTTTAATTGTTATTGAAAAGAAAGCCTTGATAATTTTTACTACATAAAAATTAAATCAAATAATAATCTTTTAGAACAACGACTGGCTTATTTTTAAAAAATCACTCTGTATACAAATATATCAATTTACCCTGTCTTTTCATCAGTTTGACCTGTACCTTATATGTGTGTGTATATATATATATATATATATATATATATATATATGTATATTTGTACTATGGCTTCTGTCTAAAGTATACAATGTGTTGTCTATTGATATCATAAAAATGACATACAGTAAATACGATATCAACACTAAATAGATACATAATTTATTTAATGTAGTATTTCTTGATATACATAACAGATGCGTGCATGCATATTTAATTAAAAAACTAGTAGGCCGAGGTGTTTAATAATTTCAAAGTTCTTAGACAGTAAAAACATACCCAAAATCTATTCTTTTGTCTACTTACTGGCAAATTAGTCAAGAATTTTTATTTAAAAAAAAATCATAATTCAATATTAAGTACTTATTAAATAATAAATAAATACTTTTTAAAAGTATACTTTAAAACTTTACAAGACTACCAAATAGAAAGTATTTAATAACCGTAATACATAATAAGTAGCAGTGGCGTATACAGAAAATATTTTCGGGAGGGGCTATTATGGACAGAGTTAAATTACCACTGCTGTCTAAGAATTACTAACAAAACACAGTAGGTAGGTACTTATCTACATTTAATTTACAGAATTTCTCAAAAAGATTTGACGTTGAACGCAAATTATAATTAAGTATAAATACCCATTGAAATATAATATATGTTTAAAAAAATTTTTAAGTTTTTTAAAACATTTCGGATGGAGGCTGTAGCCCACTAGGCCCCCCTATATACGCCACTGATAAGTAGGACTCGGATGTTTACGAATTTGCAAATATTTTACTATTAATCCAAATTAAATACAAATTTGATTCACGTTCTACTGCATAGGTCTCCAACTTTTTTTTATGGCCGGTCAATTCTGAGATACGCTTTGACATCGCAGGTCTTTATTTTTTAAAAAAATAGAGATGTAACGAAATTGAAGAATAAATTTATTTAGATTTTAAAAAAATGTATATTTATTTAAATACGATTAAGTTACACAAATAAACATAAGTTTGGAAATGCTTGTATTTTAAAATTTTTTGATAGTTTGCATCTAACTTTATTATTCCAATCAACAACGTCACTAATAAATGTTCGTCGTTTAAGTTTGTTCCATAGGTACTGAAATTCGACGTATTTCAATTATGAAAACGTCTGTTCATATAAGTAAGTGGAGCTTTATATTGAAATAATTTTTCATGCACATTTTTTCTGATATGGAATTATATTGACAAAATATCAGTAAGTTATAGTCCCCTATTCTACTGAATCAAAAAATACTATTTTTATTTTGCATATTTTTGCAAACTTTATATTTTTTAAATGCATATTATTGGAATTTTAAGAATATAAATGTATATTTCAGTACATAATAGAAATATTTAAAAATAATTTAAATCAACATGTAGGTAAATGATAAATTATATAGGTAATTGTACATATATAATCATCAAAAAATATGCATCATTTTTAGATTCAAATTTGATCAAATTAAAAAAACCATTGTATTACAACATAACACTCATATTCTAAATTAGTATATGTATAATATTAAAAAAATATAAAATTAACATCTAATTTTTTTTTTTTTTTATTTTAAAAGTTTTACTGATAATCTTGTAATCTAAACTTAATGATACTTACAAATACAGTTTCACATTAACAAATATATTCATCTTATATAAATAATTGAAACGTAATCTATAACATAGTGTAGTTTTACAACTAATTAAGGTATATAATGCAAATATAAAATTACAATTTACAGTTGAAAAATCCAGTTGTCGTAGGGATGACTTGATGTTGGAGAGATTCCAATAAATATTAAAATTGTTATCCTTTTGATTTGGACAAGTTTTAAATTAGATTGATAATTTTATGTAATTTTAAATAGAGGGAATTTAGAAATCATTGTGAAGTGTCATTGTATCAGTTGCAATTACCAAGTATCATTGTATAAATAAAATAACATAATAATATTTAAAACTGAAGGTAAAATAAATTTTATTCTGCCAATTTTGTTTTTTACGTGTATATTTTGAATTTATATTTAGTTATTTTTTAATGCATAAGTGTATACATACTACAGCCATTTTTCTAATTTATTTATTGATTTTTAATGTATGAGAGTTGATTTTAACTCTTATTTTATTACATATTTGAATTAAAGAGAAAAAACAGACAGAGAAATATGTCTGTATTAAATTTAACTCTCAAAATATCTGCAACAATTTCACTCCAATAGGCTTGTCAGTCAACTTGTTAAGTGCATAAATATCCGAGCTCTATTAATAATACACCAGAGTACCAAAGTACTAAAAAATTTAAAAAGAAAAGAATAATTGTTAAAGTTGTAATGGGTAAATTTGAAAATGATTTACACTCTGTTTATACAATAATACAATTGATATACAGTAATGTAATATTATTTTAAATGTTAAAAATAAATAGTAATCAATTAAATATAATAAATAATTAAGAATTATTATTTTATTTTTTATAAAAACCCTAATTGTTAACCTTAAAATGAAAATATCTAAAAATATATGCAAATTAATAATGATTATAATTTTATAAAAATATATTATATTATAATAATTATAAAATAGAAAATAGACGATAATTTTTTATTAAAAATACAATATTAGTCATACAGGTATAAATAATTACAAATATACATAATGGGAGCAGCTGTGTTATAAGCTTAATAACATTGTTTATATGTAGTTTATTAACTCATAAACAATAAAAATGTAATGATAAAATGAAATACAAAACATAATATTTTTAAATGATTACAATTTATTTTTTTTTCTGTCTCATTTTATTTTTTCTTATGATCATTTCTTCAACAGTTATATCCACATCCATTTTACCATGTTCCTGAGGATCTCGCTGGAGCACACCAAGTTTTTTCATCATGTTCTCTACATCAGGGTTCATGCCGTTGAATGATAATCTTGACATAGGTAACAAATCATAAAACGGTTCCCAGCTATTCACCTTCACAAAGTCCTTCTTCTTAGTACGGTGTTCAGATTTAATTTTTATGTCTTCTTCCTTAGTGCCAACATCTGGGTTCATAAACTTCATCTTCATTACCGCCTTTGAAAATATTTTATGGGGTTCCATCTTCGTCGACCGTACTTTACCCATAGTTGTAATTATCATAAACTCACTGTATCTAAAATATAAATAACAATGTTGATTAATTTAAACGCGACTTTCAGCAAACTAAAAACAAAGTAATACTTAAAAGTAGCAAATCGGCAACGATCTTATCTAGGCATGCGATTGATAATATGTAAACAAGAACGCATGTAAAACAACACATGTTGATAACGAAAAGTAATAACTACCACAGGGTGACCATAAGTGCACAAATATATAAACGTATCGGAATGATACCAGAACCGAAAACGGGAGTAGTAAGAACCGTTCTTGGTCAGACACAGATTCAAATTTACCATTAAGCAAGATAGGTAATTGACTACGGCCTCGGTTATAAAGGATCTATGGTTTTTTCTTTTTATTATTATTTAAAAGATATTTACAATCTGTTATTTACGGATCTAGAAAAATTGGTCCCCGGCTTAAAAGTTAAAAAAAAAATATTTTTTTAGCATAAAACGTTCTTATATTATAATATTATTAAAATAATAATAATAATGCTAAGCATTTAATGTTTAATATTGTAATTAACACGTCACAAGAATAATAATTACAATTTATGAAAGTCAAAAAATTTTTCATCAATGTTTCTTAGTGAGACATAGGGTATATAAATAATTCAAAAATTCGTATTTGGAAATGTTGATATCAAAACTATTACAAACAGATACAATATTTTTTTCTCTTTTTAAAAAATATATTCGTTAGACTTTGTCAAAGATAGCATCGTTGTAGAATTAATTATTTGTATCGATTCAATAAAAATATAAATACTTGGATGTTTAATCCTCACAAAATTTTGAAATTTATTGTTGAATGCTTCAGATATGTTATTAGTGCGAGCATAAACTTTTTTTGATACATTATATACATTTTATAAATATGGTGGACAAATTGTCGTTTGGCGTTTTACATACGTGGTTTCAAATTCCATAGTTATTGTTCTATAATTTCCATTAACGTACGTAACGTACGGTACGTTGCATCAAAATAAGTTAGGATCTTGTCTACGTCGTCATCGTAATTAAATGTATCATACAATATAGATATTCCTAAAATTAATATGAATAGAAAATAATAAAAATAATTAAATAAATAATATTTTATTACCTTTTTTAATCATATTCATGAGTAAGAATACCAAAGAGTTAATTAATTTTATAGCTTATCTAAATTGTTTATTATCTTTGTATTTAATAGGAGTGCACTGCAATGGCGTAATTTCAGTTTTTGATAGGGAGGGGGCAACATTTTTGACCGGTCCATACTATCGAAGGAAATCTAGTTTCGCTCACACTTTTTTAACTTATACTTAAGGCATATATTTTCTTTATTATATTATTATATAACTTAAACAAAATATAATTTTGTATTTTATAAACATTACCTAAGCAAGGTTAACTTAATCTAACTTCATCCTAAATTAATCTAAGCTGCAAGTGGATATCTTCTATGTTTCATTTTTGAAAATACATCCTACTGCCCTTTGTTATTATGAATAATGTTATCACAGAATATTAAATTATTACTATTAAATTCGGTAACCACACGTTCAAAAGTTGGATAAAATCAACTTCACGGTATCTTATGGTTAGTGAGGTAACTTGTGATTTATTATACAGTATACCTTAATGTAACAATATGGTTCAACCAATCAGAGATAATTATTTTAGAAGACACGACACGGCCCGGTGTAGTGTGAACCCGGCTTCACTCTGTAATATACTGAATATCTTAAACCGTGGTGGTAGTTATTCAATTTTGTTATCAACATATGTTGTTTTACATCAAGGTTTATAGATAAACCTATAAGATATCTATAAACCTTGGTTTTACATCATAGACCTCTATACTACAGTAGTACACTATAGTAGTATAGAAGTCTATGTTTTACATGCGTTCTAGTTTACATATTATTGTATGATGCAGCAGTTCCCAAAGTATGCGCCGCAGCGCCCTGGTACATCGCGATGTCTGTACTGGGGCACCGGGTCGTCATGAAATATTATCTAGTCTAAAATTTCCTTATGATTAGTCATGCTTTGGCTTGAGAAAGGGCGCCAAGAAAAAACCTTAGTTTAAAAAGAGTGTTGCGAGTCGAAAAAGTTTGGGAAGCACTGGTTAGGTTAGGTTAGGTTAGTGTAGATTACCGTAATCAGCCATCTGGCAGCCATTCGAATTTGCTGTTTCTATAATATGGACACTTCTTATTTTTCGTGGTTTTCAGTTTTTGTAAGTGATGTAACTGTTTTTTACTTATGATTGTTATTTCCAATTTTTGTATTATTTCTATGATATATTTTTACAATACTGTTAAATTTAAATTTTTATAACAAGAGTTTATTTTTCTTTTAATCTTTATATTTAAAGAACCGATTCATTTAATTTAATTATATTTCCCATCTTTAGTACTATTACGCTATGCTTGCGGTCGACCTACGCATTTGAGATCTGCCGTTTGAGGGCAAATCGTCATCGTTGTGTATAATCGCTGTTAGATCACCATTTACCAGATCTAGTAGATCTAGTATTCCAGTGCCACAGCAGACATTGTTACGTTCATACAAGTAATTCATCCTCATTCAGCGTTTACTTATTTTATCGAAATCATTATCTGTCAGTAATATAAGACTGATTGTCAATAACTCAGAACTATCCTCTCAATCACCCTGATATGTACAAATCGAGCACCAGACTCTAGTTGCTCTCTATTTGTCATAGAACGCTGTTCCGTAACATCAATCACTAGAGTCCTGTCATCAATAATGGTGTCCTTTTATTGAAACAATAATATAAATTAATATAAAAAAATATTCTGATTAAATATATTGGCATTTTGACTACAATAATATAATTTTTTGTAATTTTGTATATGTTAAAAGCATATAACAACCATCAATATAAATTACAAATATTATACTTACCTGATACAAGAAGCAACACAATTAAATCTATTTAAAAATTCATAAACTATTCTATTGGTAAATATTTATAATGATAAATCAATTTGTAACGGTTCACATATTTTTTCAGTCTGGTTTCTTGAGTTTTCACTATTACCATAAAATGGTAATCTCGTAAATGAAAAATAATCTTGTTTTGATTGTGGTTAAATGTGACTTCATAATAAATTATAATTTTTTCATTACATTATCAAGATGTATACAATTAATTATGGATATCAGCTCATGTTGTTATATCTACCTACTTAAGAAGTAGTTATTAGTTAATTTTTTAAAAATGACCATGAACTATCACTTTTTAGCATTCTTATTTATTTAAAATGAAAATAATTTCTGATATAAATTATTAACATTTTCAATTCTGTAACTATTATGTAGTATTTATTCTGTACTTAAGTGCAATCTTTAAAACTTATTGTAAAATATATTCTAATATAATAAATTACTACTATTTGTTTAATCAGATGTATCCTTTTCCTTCCTAGAAATCTAATACTCTTAAAGCTACAAATAAAAATCTATTATATGCACTTATTTTTCCAGTAATTATATAGTATTTTCAATCCTCCATTAAATATAATTATAATAATATATTTTACATAATTTTCTAGTAATGGTTGGTCGAGGTTTTTTAAAGAGTCGTTTGGCTCAAATAGCTGCTCAAGAAGTTGAAGATGCATCAAAATCAGAAAACAATAATAGTATTGATGTTTCTACCATAAATAATGAGCCTATACTTGGTAACAATAAACCAGCTGCCAGAGGAAGACGAGTAACTACTATTATTATTTCATATTAGAGTTATAGTAATAAAGAATGAAATTCAAAACTGATAAAATTAATTATTTGCACTACATTTCAAGACATATTTAGTATACTTATTAACCTACCGATCTAAGGAATCATTGTTATTGAAATTTAAAAAAATGTATGTATGGTTGATTTGAATATTTTTACTTGTAATTTATAACTTAAATATTTTTAAAATCTTTAAATGTTTTACACTTAAAAAAAAACTTAAAAAAAAAAACGCCAACTAATAAATAAATCAATTGTTTGAACCAGACATCAGGTTAGTTAAATCAAAATACCATAAAATCAAATGTTTTTAGTTTGATTCTTAAGATTTGATAGGACTATTTAAGATTAAATCGATGCCTAAATGTCTAAAAATTATCCCAAAGTTAGTACGTCGTATACATAAATGTTTTGACTATAGATACTTACACACTACCTGTGTACTCACACACTCTATATCAGGGATGGCAAACCTTTTGAACACTGCGTGCCCAAAATTACCTTTTTTTTTTATATAACGTGCTATGAACAAAATATTATAAATATTATATTTTGTTATATTATAATTTAATTGTATATTTAATGTATTAACATAAAAAGGTTAATTTAGGTACATAATAATAATATTGCTTTGTTAATTATTTATATTATATATTATATAATATATATTAGTAAAAATTTTCGCGTACCATAGATTTGCCATCCCTGCTCTATATAATGACAAGATTGCCTAAATTCTACTATTTAAATATTGTTAATAAAATAATGTTTATAATTATTTTAGACTTATATACACTAATAAATTATAATAATTTACTTCACTTTATATTACATTGTGTATCAATTGTACATGAAAATATTGATATACGTATATCAATACAAGACTAATATCAATAAAATAAAATAATACAAATATCAATATAGACTTAGAAGTATTATGTACCTAAAAAAACATTTATATTAATTCAGTTTTAGAAAAGTTACACAATGAAATAAAGAAAAATAATTTTAATAATATTTTAAATCTACAAACCGATTTTAAAAATAATATCTTATATCAATACATTTTAGATAATAATAAATAATAGTAACCAAATTGCATGTATATCTAAACATTTTTTTTTTGTTTTGCTTTATGGGCCCTTAAGGCCTTTCGCAGCTTCTACTAAACCTCTCCACTTGTCACAATCAATGGCAGTCTCGAAACTTGCTGCTTCGTCCATCATTCTTATATCTGAGAAAAAATACCAACTTAGAATCACTTTATAATAAACCAAATGTTAAATGCTTTCTAAAATCTAAATGTATGGAATGGGCCGGTCATGTATGGCGAGCTGAGGGAAGCATAATTCAAAAAGTACTGAATAATAACCTTACTGGCAAGCGTCCCAGGGGAAGACCTCGCCAACGTTGGCGGGATAGATTAAATGTAGATATACCTAAACATATATTTTTTTAAATTTTAAATAATCTGTTCTATTAAATTAAATTATCTCAATGTATTCCTTCCTTTATTTTTTCTTATTCAGTCGGAATTTTATTAACTTTGTAAGTACTTGATAATTAATTTTGATTTGAAACCGGTTATACTTTACAAATATAATAATACTCCAGGCTAAGCTTTTATTTATTTATTTCTAAATATAAACTATTTGTTTATTTATTTATAAATTAATTTACGAGTATTAACCATTTAATAATTTTTAATTTGAATTTAACTTTTTATTATTTTATTACTTAACAATAATTCTAATCCTCAATCTTACACACTGATTGCTTTATCTTGAAAATAATAAAACATAATAACTTAAAATTGGACATATTGGTTCCTTCCAAGTTTTAACTATGCAAAAGAGGATTTTTCAAAAATTAAATTTTTCAGAGTTGATACAGTTACAAGTTTGATGTATATTTTTTTATCACCAAAGAAATATTTTATGTTAAGTATGTTGATTTTAATAATTACCAATTCTCTAACTAAAGAAAACGTAAATTAATATCATTAGAATATACCTAGATTGTACGCTTTTTTCGTCTTAATGTTATTTTACATCAAAATGGTTATTGTTCTAAACTTAAATAGTAAAATATTTTCGAGCTAAAACAAGTAGTTTTACTAAATATTCCTTATTATTAGCAGTATTAAAAGTCATTATTTCATTATAAATAAAATTTGTTTAAATATATTAATTAAATATAATTATATATTATAGGCCATTTTTTCCCGTAGTGCGGAAAATTCTGAGTTCAGTGAAACATCAAGATTATCATCCTTAACACTGGAGAATTCAAAAAATCCTGAGTTTGTATTTTAAATCATAATACCTTATTATTATATATTACTGATAACACTTTGGTTAATAGTTAATATTAAGTTTGTCTAGATTACTTTTTTAATCTCTTCCAAAAATTTTAATTAAACATTTTAACCGTATGTTTCAACATATTTTATATAGATGTCAGATGTTTCCAGTACCTCCAGTGTGTCAAAATGGAAAAGTACCTAAACAGTGTACATCTAAAATACAACTCCAGTCTACAACAAATCTACAGCAACATCCAATACCTACTGAAGCACTAACAGAAAATAATAAACCAGTAATTTGTAGAGTTACGGAAAATCATAAGAACAACTTTAAAATGTATGATATTCTTAATTTAATTTTTCATGAAATTCGCTAAATATACCAGATAACTTAATAATTTTTAATTTTTAGTTAATATAGTGTTATCATAAATAACTTCTTGAGTATATTTATTTATATAGTTAAAATAATACAAGCCCATTTATTCCTACATAATAAAATAAAGTATTTTAATTGAAAACATAAAAATGGTATGGTACTGTATTGCAACTTTAAATGTTTTGCGCTATGAATCAGTTTGTTAGGCAAAATATAATTAATTAAAAACTTCTACATAGTGGATCGTGGATACAATCTTTTACTGATAGTTAAGACGGCACCTCAACAACTGATCTTACCTGTCTTATAATTTTAAATAGAATATATCTATACCTTGATAGTGTTGATAAAAATATGCAAGTTCTGTGTGCATTATTATCTCATTCCATTAGTTTTTCGTGCATTTAAGCAGTGATGTGTAACTCCCTTCTAGAACAATATTACATTTACTTTGTGACTTTTTTATTTTAATATGAATGCTTCTTTTTTTTAAAAAAAAAAATTAATTTATTAAGAAAAGCACTAAAATATATAATATGTTATTTTGTTCTATAAATATAAAATAATTCTTGATTCTCAAATGAATGTACAAATTGCAGCATTGTAAACAGAATAATTTCAATAATATTTTTCAAGTGTTATTCATATTTTTTATGATAAAAAAGTTGTAATATACTAATTAAAATTTTTTTTATATTATTAAATTTATTTATTTAATATTTAAATTATTATTTAGCTTGCAAAATTTAATCTTATCTATTAACATTTTTTTTTATATTACTAAGTTTTGTGTTAATTACTCTGATTTATTTAATTTTTAGGACTAAATTATCATCAAATTACATCAAGATTGAAATAGAAAAAGAAGTTGGTATATTTAAATATTGTGTAGATTTTGATCCTCCGGTTGATATAAAATCTGCAAAGTTCTATTTATTGAATCAACATAACGAGAAATTACCTGTAAAAACATTTGATGGAGCTCTACTCTTTGTTCCCATTAAGTTGCCACAAAATGTAATATAATTTAATGTTCTACAATTAGAAATTTATATTTTATATTATAATAATATTTGAATTCAATTTTCTAGGTAACTAATTTAATGGGTACATTAAAAGATGGAACTGAAGTAAAGATAAAAATTACATATAAGAGTAAAAATGCATTAAATGATTCCATACATTTTTATAATATGCTTTTTCGTAGAATCATAAACATTTTAGGATTTGTTGAATTTGGCAGAGGTCATTATGATCCAATTAAGAAAATAGAACTACAACAATTCCAGTTAGATATTACTTTTTATCGACATACACATTAATAAAGTTACATTTTTATTTTATATTTTAGACTTGAAATTTGGCCTGGTTTTATAACTTCAATTGATCAATTTGAGAATGGTCTTTATATGTGTTGTGATGTTGTACACAGAGTTCTACGTCTTCAGAATTGTTCTCAAATAATGTAAGTAGTATTAAAAAAAAAAAATATTCTTTTAATGTATAAATTATCTTGCTGAAATATTTACAATTTAAATGAATACTGAAATTATATATAACACTGACATTTGCTAAGCATATTTTTTTTAATGTAATATTTTTTCTTTTAATTTTTTTGAAATATTAACATAATATATGTTATGAATAATACTAAAATGTAGATAATGTCAACATTAACTGGGCATTTTGGCTAATGTATAATTTTCCATTTATTAACATGATTTTTCAGCATTATCTGTTGGTCTTTTAATAGTGAATAATTTTTTGAGTTATGAATTAAAAATAATTTAAATTTTTTTATTAGTACTCTGAATATATTAGCATCACATTATTAAAGTCCTTATCTGCTTAATTTAATAACTAAAGATACCTATCTTAATGCTGAAGTAAAAAATACATAGTTCTAGTTTTTATCCATGTAGAACATTTTTTCTAGGATCTTAAATGCTTACTATAAATTCTAGTATATAATATATAAATAATATATATAAAATGACCCCTACAATAAATCATTTTCACTGGAAATGAATATAAATCTTGTTATTATTTTGTAATATTACCTTTTTTTTACATTAATATTCTTAATTTGACTTCTTGTAAATAATGTATAATATATGTATATGTTTGTCAAATCTTAAACTTGCACTTGATTTGCTAAATTTCAAATAATATATAGAAAAGATAATTTTAAAAGTTTTTTGTATATAAACATCTATTTTGCAGGGCAGAAATTGCAGAAGAAGCAAAAAGTAGAAATAAAGATGTGGTGGGGGAAATTATGGCTCAATTATGTGGTACTACTGTTATTACACACTACAATAGTAAAACATACAGGATTGATGATATAGACTTTTCAATGTCCCCATTGTCAACATTTTTAAAAAACGGTTCTGAAGTAAGTTAAGTTGCTTTTAGATATAGATAAAAGGTTTAAACTACCCATTGCACGAGTGTTGACATATATTTTAAATATGCAAAAACTCACTTTAATTTAAAGGAACACAGCTTTAATCTTAAAATATAGATTTTGATAAATTTCCTTTTGTCTGAAATTTTATAAAGTTAATATACATTTTAGTGATCTTCAATAATTATATATTTTAGATATCATATGTCAGCTATTATAAAAATGGATACAACATTGATATACAAAATCATCAACAGCCTATGATCATCACGAAACCAAAGAAAAAAAATTTAATTAAAAATGGACCTCAGGTTTGTTTTAACTGAAAATTTATTTAATATTATTTATTTCAGATGTATGAACATAAAAAAGTATTTAATATTAATATTATACAGTACAATATTTATATTCTGAACAGTTGTTTTATATATTTAGATACAATATAAAACATTTAAAAAACCATTTTAAGTCTGCAAATAACACTTTTATTTCAAATTTTTTGAAAAATTGAATATTTTAAGACCAAATACTTTTGTAACTTACAGTAAAAAATATATTCTTTAATAAAAATAAATAAATATAAGCAGATACAAATTTTATAGTATATTACATTTTAAACCATTATAATAAAATCTTATTTTTATGTTCTTGTTTACTGACTAGTTAGATGTACACCAATATGCATTTTTTAAGACTTAAATACTCTTCTTGGACAATTGTAATTTTATATGATTCTATTTATCATCCATTATTATATTATCTTTGCATAATAAATAAATAATGTACTTAGTTACATTTTGATTTAAATTTTTAAGTTATAAATGTTACAATATTTAAATAAATAAAAGCAATATATTGACGAAAGAAAAAAGATGGACTCTAAATAGTTTAATTACAATTTATTTTTGTATTTACAGGATTCACAGGATTCAGATCTATGTTGTTTAGTTCCTGAACTTTGCTATTTGACTGGTTTGTCTGAAAGTATGAAGAATAATTATAAGTTAATGAGCACTATTAGTACACACACCAAAGTTGATCCAAACATACGACAAAATACTTTAATTGAATTTGTTAATCGTATAAACGGTATGAAATATTAATTTTTTTATCTTATTATAGCATTTTAATTTATTATACAATCTTATAGTTTATTAATTTTTAAATTTTTAATAGTTAAATAAAAAAATAAAAATTAAGATAGAAATTCTCAATGAGGTCCATTACATATTGTTATTGTCGTTTATTTCTTCAAAAAGATTTAATAAATAATAAATAAAGGTATAAAGATACCATTTAACAGGTTTGTGTGGGGCCCCATGAGTTTATTATTTACAATATTATTATAATTAGGCATACATTCAAATTAATACAATTTACATTTGAACTATCTGAGAGTTTTAGATTTATAAAATAGAGCTTGGTGTATGACTAGTATGCCATTATTGGTTGTTTAAACGTGGATTAAAACAAAAACTGTCCCTCATATAAAATGAGTGGGGACGGTTGGACATTTTACAACCGATTACTAGCATATACAATCTACATTTTAATATTATAGTATTCAGTTAAATTACAAAAAACAATAAACACTTTAATTTAATTTAATAAGATTTTCATATTATTTAATTCAGTGAGTCTGAAATATATATTGGTCATTATTTTCAATTAATTACTTAATCCTTTTTAGACTGTGAAGATACCAAAAAGAAATTAAAAGATTGGGGTCTATCAATATCTCCATCCCTTGTTATATCAGAAGGTCCTGTGTATAAAAATGAAAGTGTTATATTTGGGAACCAAAAAAAAATACCAGTAGAAAATAATATGGACTGGACAATGAATGTAAAGAAAAATTTAATGTTTACAGCAGTAAGTAAATATATCTCTTGGTTGTCTTTATTTGGTTTATGTTTGATAAATTAAAACATTTCAAACATTACATTATTATCTTAAATTTTAATTTACATACTAATTATTTTTAGGTAAAGATAATAAACTGGGCTATTTTGTATAATTCAAGAGATTTATCAACAGCAAGATCATTTTGCAAATGTTTGGCATTATGCTCACAACCTTTGGGTATGAAAATAAATGAACCAATGCCCATTTCAGTTGATGGAATAAGTCCAGAAGCTTTTGTAACCTCAATAAACAATGCTGTAAAGTGTAATTCAGAATTACAATTAGTTGTTGTCATATTTCCAAGTAAAAGAGATGACCGATATAATGCTGTGAAACGGATTTGTTGTTCCGAGATTGGAATACCATCTCAAGTAATAAAAAACTTAATTCTATTGATATGATTATTTTAATTTGTTATATTTTAGGTAATAATTTCAAGAACTTTGTCAAATCCAACAAAAATGCGTTCTTTTGTTCAAAAAATTGCTTTACAAATTAATTGTAAACTCGGAGGAGCTGGTTGGTCTATAGATATTCCGTTGGTAAGATTATTAGATTCAAAATTGTATCTTTAACATAATTATTTTTTATTTTATTTTTATTGATAACACTAAATTGAGTATATATTTTATTTTTCAATTTGCAAAAACAAGTAATGTTAACTATCAAAATGTTGTCTACTCTATATAAGATTTTATGTAAAAAAGTTTTTGTAGAACTGTTAAGTGGTTATCCAATTGGTTTTTTCTACCATTTATTATTACTAAAAAATAAATATGTTATTTTAGATTTTTTTTTTTTTTTTTTTATCTTTTATTTGCAGTTTTTCTGTATATAATTTTTAGAATATAATTTAAATTCACATGAGTATTATTATTTAACTTTCCTACTAGAATTTAAACCAATTTTTGTTCTTAAATTCTCCGTTTTATTGTTGTAAAAGCTAACTTGCAACCATTTACTGATTTTTGTACACAGTCAACTTTTGATAATACAAACTTCATTAATTCAAAACTTTCGCTTAGGAAAAAACAAAGTTTTTGAATCTTTATTTACTTAAGAAAATAGTATTTAAAAATTAAAATATGTTCAATAATTTTTTTTTTTTTTTTTTTTTTGAAAAATAATCATTTTAATTTTAATTACTAACATATATTATTCAATTTAGATTATTATTATTATATCATAATTATCTTTATTTAACATAACAATATAGTAAACATGTTTTATATTTACATTTTGAAAAACAAATACATAGTTGTAGTAATGTAAAAATGCTGTTAAATTAGATAAAACATTTAATAATTATAAAAAATACTCATAAATTAGTAATTAAAATTGTTTTATTTTGCCCTCTTAATATTTCGAACCACTCAACAACTCTTGGTAATTCAACATTTTTCATAAGTTCCACCAACTTCCAATTATCAAGAGTTGGCTGTAGTTTATATGGTCAGTGGCCAGTGTTAAAATAATCAGCAAATAAAAAATGTATTAAGTTTAATTATAAACTATATATTTACAAAATAAAATCCAAAAATAATCATTTCCATAGTTGAACATTATTTTAAATTATTTTCAAAATGTCTGTGTTATAATACATAGTCAAAATAGTTTTAATTCATGAGGTAGTTAAAAAGTAACAACTATAAAAAATATTAAATACCATAAAACTTTGTTTTTTTTTTAAATCTATTATAAGTTTTTAGCAAAACTATTTGTTTTATTAATAGTTATAGAATAGAAATATTAATATTTTAAATCAGCTGTTCATAAACATAACTTGAAAATTTTTCAATAATACAGCTATTTGATTGTAACTTGTGGCTAATTACTTATTTTATGTATTTTTTTTTTTTTTAGAATAATTGCATGATAGTAGGTATTGATGTTTATCATGAAAAAAATAAGCAAATGTCTAGTGTCATTGGTTTTGTAGCTTCTTTGGATAAAACATTTACGCAATGGTATTCAGTTGCTAAAATACAAAAGAATACCCATAAAGAAATTGGTGACGTTATTCATATTGCTTTCTTTGAAATTTTGGATGCATACAAAGAAGTCAGTTTTTATTTTATTCTTTGAATATTATATTATTTAGTCTAAAATATATTTATTTTATAGAAAAATGGTAAGTTACCTGAAAAAATAATAATATACAGAGATGGTATTGGAGATGGAGATATAATATATACTGAAGAATTTGAATTACGTAATTTAGAAGAATATTTAAAAACCTATTCCAATAATTATTGTCCTATGATTACATACATAATTGTACAAAAACGAATTAATACAAAAATTTTTCGGGTAATACATATTTTTTTTATTTTATTATTGTTATACCAGTACATTAATTATTATTACAATAATATTAATAATATATTTACAAAGCTCTGAAAATTTTCTGAAAATCATAAATAAATTAGTTGGTTTTATTATATTAATTCTTTTACTTAATGTACTTGTATGTACTAATTAAAATGTATATTATAACTGTTTTTTTTTTTTTTAACTTGCCTTTGTTTGCACATTACAGCAAAGCGATTCCAAAAAAATGAAAATAACAATGGTATTAATTCAGTAAATAATAATAAAAATAACATTAATACTAATAATAAATGTATATAGGAACAAATTTAATTAAATTAAGAAGCCAGCGGAATAAATTAAATTAATGATGGAGTGAATGACTAGAATAGAACGAGAGTTAAGCAGAAAGTTGGCGTCAAGAGTGATTTATCCAAAAGAATATTGGAATGAGAAAAGGAGAAGTCAGTTGTGAAGGACAGAAGGACATTGAAAGATGATATGGTTAATGTCATAGACGGTATCAATATGATGTCGTGTACAAAGAAGAGAAGAGTTAGAGAAAGCTTAAAGGCTTGGTGGGAAAAAAGATTGTGTCCTATTTGAACGCGAGTGAAAATGACGATCAATTTTCTAGATATCCCCAAGTCGTTGAACCATGGATGCCGAAAAATGGTTAAAACAATCCGTCTGTGCTAAGCGCCATAATAAGGTGAAAGAGAGGACAATTTTGCTTGCCAAGCTTTTCGAAGGATTTTGTAGTGGATAGGGAGGAGATTGGAAGCTAGTTTTTTATTAGGAGGAAATATGATTGGTGTATTTTATTGAAAAAGCTAAATGGTCTGCACATTATGTGTGGGATCCATCTAAGTTTGGGATTGAGCTTTAAACCAAAGTAGATGACAAAAGAAGATAGTTAAATGATATTGTTATCTAGAACCAAATGTGGATGGTTAGAAATTTTTTTGTTTACGGGTAAATATAAAATTGCTTTTCTCAAAAGCTATTATGTTGTGAAGAATGAAGAAGAAAGTTGAGAAGAGAGCATTTTTAAAGCGTTGTTTAAAATATTGATGGATGTATCCAAATATCTGCCTGAAGAGAAAATAACAATGTTATCAGCATACAAAAGAACTGAAATCCGGTGAAACTAGAGACAAACATATGAGAGACATGTAAACATTGAAAAGTAGAGGGCTTAGATAACTCTTTTAAGTTAAGTCCCTAAACGTTGATCTTCTTAAGATGATTCACGATGGAGAGGAGAATTCAAGGAAACAATGAGAAAACAACGAGAAAATAAAGTTACAAACAGAATGAGGAATGTAAAGTAAAACAAGGTAAGGAATCAGAGTGGGGACGTGTACAGAATCAAACGTCCCTTTGATGTTTACAAAAGCGGCACACAAACATTTTTTGTTGCAGAATATTATAACTATAATATCAAACAATTAATGTTCCTATATGTTCCTTAATGTCAAATAATGTCAGCCTGAGAAAAACTCAACATTTTTTATTTGATTCTTTTTTCAATCCCTTTAAATGTTATAAAGTGTACTGTCAATTTTTGTAACACAATATTACCTCAAATTTAACTAGTTCTATTATTAAGATTTTTTTATAATGTGGCTTGTTCATTTTTCAAGGAATTTTTAATTGAATATATAGTTGTTGTTATTGTTAAGTTTATATTTTACAATTTAATTATAATTTTTTTTTTTTTTTATAAATATTTATATAACTAAATTATTTTACAATGTCTTTAATTGCAAATAAGTTTACACGTTTTCTCTGATTTATATATCAATTGTACAAAATAATTTATTTTTAGTTCTTAGATGAAAAATATTCAAATCCAAGTCCTGGAACTGTTTTGGACAATACTATAACTAAAAGAAATTACTTTGATTTTTACCTAGTATCACAAAATGTGCGTCAGGTTTGTAGAAATTTCCTTTTTAAATAAAATATAAATAATGTCTTGTATATATGTTATTAAAATTTATTATTTTTTCTAGGGAACTGTAAATCCTACTCATTATGTAGTATTAAAAAATGGCTGTAATTTGAGTGTAGAAAATGTTCAACGTTTGTCTTATAAGCTGTGTCATTTGTATTATAATTGGTGTGGCACAATAAAAATACCTGCTCCAGTTCAAGTAATTATCACAAAAACAATATTATTTCATTATTATTAGGGTTTGGGACTTATTACACACAAATTGTAAGAAATATGCACTTAAAATATCTGAAATATGCAACTTGATTTTTTTATAATAACAATTCAATTTTTTTTTAGTTATTTTTTCATAACAATAATTCTATAAGTTTAAAATTATAATATTCTGTATTATTGAATTAATTTTTTTTTGTCCTCTTCTCTTACAATGAAAAAAGGTTTAAAATGAAAAAAATGTAAAATAAAAAAGTGTTGACTTGTAGAATAAATTTACTTCACATAAAACATAAAAATGAGTAAGCATGCTGTAAATAACTATTAAATTTTAGAAAAATCTCTAATATACAATTCAAATTTTCGAATTCCAGTCTATTATGTCATAAAACAAATGTATATCTTACTCAGATTATTCTACAGTCAAAAAATATGCAAATGCAACAAGTCCCAAACACAAATTATTATCAATGAATAAAAAAATAAATACTTGAATAATTAATTCTTTAATAATCTAATATTATCTGATATTATATAAACAAACTTGGTCAGTGTTAAAATTTCAAAAAAGTTAAGAATTGATTTCTTTGCATTATAAAGTAGCATTAACTAGGATATTAGTAAACATGTTCATACAAACTAGGTTGAAGAAAAGGGCCGTTCAGATTATATATGGTTTAGAAAAAAAAAATTATATAAACTTTGAAATTTATTTTTATCTATGCATAATTGGAAATTACAATGGATATTTTTATAAATTTGTATATAAACATTTTATAAATAAAATAAAATGTTTGATTAATAATTATTAATGTTTATTATGGATATACATTGTAAATACATCATTTTAAATTTGTGCATTTTTTTTTTTTTTTTTTTATAGTATGCACATAAATTGGCTTATCTTATAGGAGAAAATATCAGAATACCAACAAAAAGAAATTTATGCAATACATTATATTATCTTTAGAAAAAAAATGTATTTCTACTTACATTTTTTGTTTGTACCTGATGAAATATTAAAATAGTTTAAGTATTATTAAATGTTGAATGTAACAATATTATCATTTTCTATTTTATTTATGAATCTAACTATTTAGTAATCCTTGGTTTACGAATTTTTAAATGTATAATTTTAATTTAAGACTTTCATGAACTACATAATTTAAAGTTTTATATTTTTAAGACATTTATGTTTAATGTTTATATTATTATTATTATTATTATTATTATTATTGTATTAAATTTATTTTTACTTTGAAATGTTCAATTTAAAAATCCTTGGATTACCAATTTTTAAATGCATAAGACATTTATGTTTAATGTTTATATTATTATTATTACTATTATTATATTAAATTTATTTTTACCTTTGAAAGGTTCAATTTAAAAAGTCCACATTTTTTACGAAGAGACTGCTAAGGTGTTACATACATGTTAAAGAATAATAATTTTTTATATCTTAGCACAATTAATAATTAATCAAATAATATATTCAATTAAAATTTTTTACTTCAACATTATTTATTTTTTGTTACAACTTCCCATGAACTTACTTTAATAAGCTATCGTTTTGTACAATTTGATATATGTACAACACCATATCGATGTAATATACTATATACAACCATATAGATCAGTGGTTGTCAACCTTTTTGGGTCCATGGCTCCTTTTGATTTTGAAATAAAATATACGGCTCCCATACGAACATTTAAAATAAACAAATTTACATTATTTATAATAATTTTAACCCTTCACTGCATGATTTTTTTTTTTTATTCGAAAAAAATGTTTTATATGTAAAATACCCAGTAGATATTATAGAAAATGGTAAAAAATTCAATTTTTGTCTCCTATGTAAAGATTATGTCAGTTTTTTATGAAATGCACCAGTGCACTTCCATGCAACTTGTTATTAAAAATTCTATATCGTATAGGTATATATATATTAGAAAATCAATGAAACATATAACAATGTTATGCAATTATTAATGCAACTCTAAACAATAAACAAAATAAAAAGACCCGAGTAATAGAAAATTAAATTTTAGGTAGTAGGTAAATAAATGCATAGAATATAAATGTTAATGTTAATTATTGTGAAATTTCATAAAACAATTTCTTTCTGTGTTACAACACAAATATAAAGTACAATTGGAGCACATGGCAAAATACTGGTATTTACATCCTGGATATCTGCAAACTCTTCTCTTTTTTTCGAACTGTGGCCAATATTGGTAACCATCCATACGGATTTGTCTATCGGAATTTCAAGAATTTACTCAATTTCATGAGGTTTCATATTACGAGCTATTACAATTAAACGAATAATGTTTATTTAAAATATAATAATCAATGTTATACTTAAAACGAATCGATTACTTGCACTGTTCGTTACACGTTCTGCACGCGGCAATTAGTAGAGTACGCGTGATAGTCGCTTATAAATAATAAACTATATATTAGATAATTACTTGCCAATAATGCATGGAAGGGCACTCATGCATTGCTAGGTAAAACATGTGTACAAAATAATCTATCAAATATTATTCCCTAATTTATCAAAATTCTAAAAATAAATATGTTTCCCCGTGTACCGATATTTTTTCTATTAGTATAGTACACCTATTTAGCGTTCATATAGCTGTTCAAACATCCTCCCATAATCAGTTTTGCTGTCATCGTAATACCAAGACTTTAATATGTAATTATATAATGTGTAACGCCATCTATTATGAAAAAAAATGTTCTCATCGTTAATATTAAATAATATCAAATTGTTATCAAAATTGTTCTGATCTTTTTCAGTTGAAACATAATAACCAAAACGGTTTTATTATGACATGCATCAGTGCACGTACATGCAGTGAAGGGTTAATCTAACTTTATTTAATGATAAACATGTAATTAGGTATTAATAATAGGAAACATTTTTTTAAGATTTATTTTTTACATACAATTAAAAAATTAATACATTAATAATAATATTAATTTTTAATAGGATGTCTGTGCTTATTTTGTTGCATTATATCATCAAATCGTGGGGTAAATTTTGATAGTGCGATTCTCATTTCCTTTTCGGTATTTAGTTTTGCTCTGTATTTACTTTTGATAACTGCTAAGGCCGAAAAACCCGTTTCACATAAGAATGAAGAAGCAAATGGAATCAAAGTCCTAACAAAGAACCAAAGTAATATTTTACTTAATATGCTATATTACTCGATATCGCAAACACGATTATTGACGGCCGATCTGTCTCACACACGCAATATGTAATATGTACTGGTGCGCGGAAATTTTATTTTTAATTTATATTGGGAACGCGGCTCCCTTGATAATAACCGGCGACACCTCTGGGAACCGCGACGCATAGGTTGAAAACCACTGATATAGATATTGATTTTAAAATATATCTATTCTGTAATATACATTCTAAAATCAATGGTATAGAAAAAAACCAAAAGGATAAGTAAAATATTATATTACACGATTTGTACAAAAAAAATGTAATCAATTTACAATGTTTCTTTCATTTTAAAATAAAAATTAATTTATGGTTTTCGTAATTCGTATTTTTATTGCCTATACTGTAATATATAATCATGTTTTTGTTGTTCATATCGAATAAGATTGATTTAAGTTTATAACTTTTTTTTTAAAGCGTTATTTTTTTTTCTTAGTCGAATTAATTAAATACTAAAACTAATTTATAAAGAGAGAATATTCATTAACGTCAATTGACGTTCTCACTACTTTGGTAAAAAAAAACCTGGTACGTCAATTGTCAATCTATTATAACACAAAAATCCAATGGCGGCTCGTGCTAAGGAGCACGTGAACCTCTCAAAAAAATTATATGATTCATGTAGTAAATTATAATCGGTTATTATGTATGTTAAAAAAAAAAGAAAAGTTTTCCCAGCTTTTCGTCTTGGGAAGTGTGTTTATTGGCGACTAAATAATAACGGAGCGCACGTTTGTTGTTCTCCGGACGGCCATACAAAAGTTAGCTAAATATGTAGGCAAGTGGGTTAGTAATACATGGTCGTTTGGAGCATAATCGATGTGTGCACCGGACTAATTTTTTTATCGTCCCGCGTATCGCGTCGATCGTGGAACCAAGATTTTGTGTTTACGTCTCATACCATAATAAGTAATTTTTTTCCAATTTATTTTTATTCTACTGTGACGAAAATCTTAGGGAACTTGATTAGGGAAACTATATGTTGACATGTACTTTATATGTACACCAAACCTTTAATCAAATTAATATTTTTTTTTACCCATCTGCATAGGTATCTTACAAATTATCTGTGCACCACCTTGTGTGAACCTCACGAGTTGCTACTGCAATTATCTAAAATGTTAAAATACCGATATTTTTATAAAATCAATTCACTCTCTGAGTAATCCATACAGAATAATATTTCCTCTTCAAAGGGTAAAATATCATGTCGTCGTCGAATGGCGACGACGCGAACAAAAATCACCTAACGGTCAGCCATAGAACTATAGTTGAGCTCAAGTAATTTGTATTCAAACAACATGAAATAAATTAATGTTATCTTTCTCTGTACCTTCTTAGCAAGTCATTTATAACTCCTGAACCTTCTTTTTCTTCTGGGGATGGAGGGTTGAGACCCAGGAACGCCTTCCTACCAAAAATACGCCGTTATTGAGCGGCCTAGAGAAAGTTTCATTTTCGTTGAGTAAATTTTAATCTAGCTTACAATTCTTATCCACGTTATCCACCTGTTTTTATTTTTTTATTTTCATGTTATAATCTGTATTTTATTTTTTCCTACCGTCACTGTATGTTATAACATGTCAAGTTCTGATGAGGAACTACTTCTTTTATTACTTGTGCTTAAAAATAAAAAGAACATACGAATCTGGGTGCATGAAATAAATACGAAAAGAGAATTGGCCAATACCATCGACTCTGAACTTCAATCTTTATCGTTTTTTCAATATTTTCGCATGTCACGAGTGTTTCGAGGAATTACATAACCTAGTACAATTAATATTAGTGTTTATTATACTAAAACTAAATATTTCAAAATGTTCAGTATACAAATATATGTATGTATTTCCTAAACAAGTATTATTAATTTTTAAGTTTCTTCCGCCATATAATCGAAACTGGCCGCCCGATATTTTATAATTTTGTACAACTATCGTCTGCGTCGCGGGCAAATATCGCTGACCGCCGCGACAGACCGCGTTCTGTGTGCCAAGCCTTTAATGTTTTATAATAATTTTACGTGTAACAAGTAATAAAAAGTAGAAAAATATGACAAAACGAGTGAAATAAAACCACTAGGAAGCGTAGGGAATAATATTGCCATTGAAACATAGTTGTTCTTCTTGTACATAAATTATATAAAAATATTGACTTCAATTTAAATGCTATTCATTTACGAATATCGTGTAAGTACATGGATTTTGTTTGCAATCATAGGTGTGCGAACATCTTCTGACATGTTATTAATGGGACCTTTGAATTTAAGTCTGTAATTAAGGGGCCCGTATTTTAACTGATGTTACTCAAATTAAATGTAATTAATTATAAAATATTTGGTAGAGAACAAATTATGATTAGTACCTAATAGAACATTTTTTCTAAATTTTCGTGTTAAAACTTATAACGATAACACAACTATTACAAGATTGAATACAAAAATAGGAAAGCATGAATCATAAATAATTGAAGCTGCCTGAGAAAAGTATACAGAGATTCAAGGAAAACGAATTCATTGAGACTAATTCATCACAATGTTAAATAATGAATTTCAGTTATGTTTATTTAATTATTTATATACGATAATTTGTTAAATATCCTTACACGTTTAAAAAAGGGCTCAAAAGTATTGTAGGCACTCCCTGAACTACAAGTCTGCGTATGTCATAGGTATATATGGGGGGGGGGGGGGCTTAAGCCTCTCTGAACGTAATCAAACCACAACAGACTTCAAAGTAAATTGTGTATTTTAATATTTGATATTTATAATTTTATTTTATTTTATTGGTATGCGAGAATGGTCTGAAATATTTACGGACCATCGTTATTGGGGATTACCATATTTTGTGGGTAATAAAAGAAAAATAAAGGAATAGATTTATACAATTAAAATAAAAATAAAAATAAAATGAGTAGCTATTCAGTATTTTATATTTTTATGTTCTTATTACCTGTATATATTTGATGCCTCAATTAAAATAAAATAGGAGTATCCGCTATTTAGAGGCGTCTAAAAATGTCTGTTTACGCTAATGGATAAGACAAAAATGTTACGCCATGGATGTGACCAAATATCCGCCTGTTTGCAATATTGTGCGAGTATAATAATTCCACGGGGAACGTGGACGAAATGTTACAGTGATCATGGGAATGCGACCATAGGAATAGAGAAATGCTATCGAATCGCCACCGTACCCACCGTGGTTTAGCATTTCAAAAAAACATTTCCTAACGTTTGTCGAACAGTAGTGTTTCGCACGTCACGCTCTCGGTTTTCCTCTTGGCTGTTTTCAAAATGTTTCAAGTTCCATCTTCTCGGTGTCGTCATCCGTCCGGCAATCACCGCGATCGACATCAAATCCGATTGAAATTAAAATCGTGACACAAGTCACACGCGAAAACCGCGTACGGACGAAACAGCAAAGGTTTCGCCGAACGCGTTTTCCGTGTTGAACGGTCGCGGCAGCAGCGCCATCTGCCGAAGATAGCATCTGTTGACGACTACAACAACAACGGTGTTTTTAGTGCAAACAAACGGCGTTAGGTAGCACCGTTCCGGGAAGCTCGTTTACACGCAATGTTCTACACATCGTCCAACTTTATTCGCGAACCCGAAACGGATTTATCGGGGTTTTGTCGCGGTACCGGTCATGTAATGAACGCCCCCGTGTCCAACGGTCTTCCGATTGCGGTCTGTATGCGTTTTAAATCCATCGGAAAGCGGCGTGCCGACCGACCAAAAAGTCAGGGTCAAGCTCCCGGCGTACTGTATAAGTACTGCCCTGTTGCACTGTAAACTTTAAGATCATACTTCACAGGATCATTTCTGTAGTATGCATCGTCCCCTCCAGGTGCAAATCTGGAGTCGTCATTGGCCATGATGATGAGACTCGTCCATTTACCAGAGCGTGAGACTGCTAGTGATCTGCTGTTCGCAGTAATGATCACTTAGCGACGATGATCGCAACCGCCCTGGGCGGAAGGTAGATGGACTGTCTGAGTGGTTCACTTTATTAAAATCTTTTAATTAATCTAGTAACTAACTTCCTATATTAAATGTTGAACAAACTTGTCCGTATACAGAAGCAAAACTCTCTCGTATTTAGTGACAAATAAATTTATTTAACATCAGATAAATTACAAATCACAAGTAAAACAAACATGTTTGTTAAAAATTTCATTGAAATGAAAAAGCAAATCTAAGTGTTTGGTGAAAAACAACTTTTAATGTTTTTTTTTTTTTTTGTAAACTTCCATTTAAACGGAAATCCCAATTGGACGAATAGTTATATCTAAAGAGATTCTGTCTAAGCAAGGTCATACTGTATTACATTTCTTTATTACTTATTATTTATATCCGTGGTCGATCGTCTCATACGTTTTATATATATACTCATTCCCATTTATGAAATGTAAAGCGAATGAAATTTATTTTTCAAGTCTTCACTCAGTATGTGCTCTGAACGAAAACAATTTTGTGTACGGGAGGCGAGATTGGCACAATAAATCATGATTATTAACCTAACCTAAGAATAAGAACCATATTATTTATTGCAGCGTACTGATGAAAACGTGCATTTTGACAGTAGCAACTCAGCATCAAGGAATACAATTATTATACACCTAATGTTCTATGCCAGTGAGCCAATATATTGTGTAAGAGAAATAATTGCATTGCAAATCACAAAACAGTCGCAATCCGGTATAGTGAATATACACTTTAGAGATTAGTCCTATCTATCTACAACAGAGTGTTAATTTATCAAACATAACGATGATATCTATACTCGTGTGGCCACTCGACAACGTGGATGGTAATTAAAAAATTATATTTCAAATATCATTTACGGTGCAGAATATTATTATTATGTATTATAATTAGCAGCAGCCGGCACGAGATAACGACTTGTTGATAACGGACACCGGATTGTGCAACAGGTTCATGGTAATTCCGGGTTAACTATTTCCAAACGTGTGCTCGTTAGGCATCGATTTATGATTTACCCTTGCGGACGCTTTAAGTTCATTTGTTCCGCTGTCCTGTCCTAGATACCATCATGTCGGCCGAAGTCTCCGCGAGAGTGCTGTCTGGCACCGAACTTTCTAAGTATTCGAATGAGATTTTTATTTTTTTATCTAACTTGCCGTTTTTTTCTTTTACAATTATTTAAACCGTTGTATTTGTTTCGCACTTAAGGGAGACGAAAAACGACTTAAGACAGCAGACTGCTCTGCTCGCCGAACGTTTCAATGGATTTAAACCACGCCTTGTGATAATTCAAGTCGGAGATCGCAACGATTCCAATGTCTACATCAAGCAGAAAATCAAGTCTGCCGATGAAGTTGGTGTTGATGCAACTCATGTGCAGTACCCCAATACTATCACTCAGAATGTGGTGTGCATTTTTGTTTAATTTTGTAATGTGTCTAGTGTATGATTACAATGAGTTAGTATTTTTTATTATCTGTATCATATTTTCTATTTTTAGTTATTATCAGAAATTAACAAATATAACAATGATCCATCTGTACATGGTATTATTGTTCAAATGCCGCTGGACTGTATTCAAAAAATTGATTCGCATCTGATCACTAATACAGTTTCTCCCGAAAAAGATGTTGATGGGTAAATATATAAATATATATATATATATATATATATATATTTATATACAATGTGAACTTGTATTAGAAGTCTTTATATTATCTGAAATATATTTTTAATCTTAATTTTAATATTTATATTTCCTGTTTGCCCATGTAGCTTGAACATTATAAATGAAGGTAAAGTGGCCATTGGTGATTTAACTGGACTGATACCTTGTACTCCTAATGGTGTTATTCAATTAATTAAAAGGTAACTCATATTTTAATTGTAAAATTTATATTTTTCCTTTTAGATTATTTAAACATGTTTTAATCATAATCACAGAAGTGGTATTGAAATTGCTGGAACAAAAGCTGTGGTATTAGGACGCAGTAAAATAGTTGGTGCTCCCGTTGCAAGCTTACTCCTATGGCACAATGCAACCGTAACAATTTGTCATTCCAGAACTAAGGACATTGAAAAAGAAGTATGTTTAAAAATTCTTAGAATTGTTAATTTAATCATATTAGTGTTGGTATTAATATATTGAAATAAAAATATTAAATATATTCAGGTAGCCAAAGCAGATATTTTAGTGGTGGCAATTGGTAAAGCAGAGTTTGTTCATGGGTCATGGATAAAACCAGGAGCAGTAGTAATAGACTGTGGCATCAATTCTCTTCCCGGTATATATAAATTGCTTGTTAAATTCAATATCATATAATTTGTTAATTTTTTTAACTTTTTTTAAGACTCTTCAAAGAAGTCTGGTTATCGTTTGGTGGGAGATGTTCACTATGAATCAGCTTCTCAGATAGCTTCGGCTATAACACCAGTGCCTGGTGGTGTAGGACCTATGACTGTTGCAATGTTATTATCAAATACTATTCAAGCAGCTACTAAAGTTGTAGAAAATATCTATAGAAGCCAATGGAATTTAAGTGTACTCCCATTAAAATTTCAAAAACCCGTGCCTAAGTAAATTTTAAATAAAATATTAAAAAAAAGTACTATTCTAAGTATTTTTATGTTTTTAGTGATATTAATATTGCTAGAAGTCAAGAACCAAAAGATATAATGCAGTTAGCTAATGAAATAGGTTTGAAAAAGTCTGAGGTGTTTTTGTATGGCAACAAAAAAGCAAAAATCAGTATATCCGTTATAAACCGCCTAAAAGACATAAATAATGGAAAATATATTGTTGTAACTGGGTATGTATGTGTAATACTTGTTACTAGGAGTTTATCACTCCCATAGTTAAAAAATTAATTTAGGAGAAATAGTTTTCATAATTTCTTTATTATCTTAAATTTTACATTATTACTTCATATTAATTTTGTTATTATTTTTAAACGTAAAGTGATATTATAATTATTTTTATAAATTAGAAATATTCTGTTAAATAAATAATAATCAAAAATATTCTTTAGAGAAATTCAAAATATTTTCACTGTAATTACTATATTATTATTATTGCAATTAATAGTTTGCAATTGAATGTAAAAATAAAAATAAATGAATTTTATATAACAATCATATTTTTTTGTTTTTTTACCATAAATAAATTGATTTTTATACTCATGGTATTACTTTTGTATACATATTGATAATAATATTTATAATTCTATTTAATTATTCAGAAGAAAATATATATTTGGAGCAATTAAATTAAAGCAGCTTTTTAATGTTATTTTATTTTAGTATTACTCCAACTTCCTTTGGTGAAGGCAAGAGTACTACCACAGTTGGACTTGTTCAAGCATTAGCAGCACACACTAAGAAAAATACTTTTGCGTGTTTAAGACAACCTTCGCAAGGACCAACATTTGGTATTAAAGGTTTGTACTCTTGTATATATTATTGTTTAGTTTGATATTTCCTGATATTAAATGTTGCTATTGAAATATTGAATTATCCAGGGGGTGCTGCTGGTGGTGGATACTCTCAAGTAATACCAATGGAAGAATTTAACCTTCATTTAACTGGGGATATACATGCTGTTACGGCTGCAAACAATTTAATGGCTGCGCAGATTGATGCTCGTATGTTCCATGAAGCTACTCAGAAAGATCAAGCCTTGTATGATCGTCTTGTACCAACCATAAAAGGTGTACGGCAATTTTCACCCATACAAATCAACAGATTGAAAAAGCTTGGCATTGATAAAACTGATCCGTCATCTTTGACTGCTGAAGAGATTAGTTCTTTTGCTAGGCTCAATATTGATCCGGACACTATATCCTGGAATAGAGGTACATAAAAATTTAATTTAATTATTTTAATAATTAAGATTGATTTAAACTAGTATATTTTAAGTTTAGTAATGGACACAAATGATCGTTTCTTGCGCAAAATTACAATTGGACAGTCGCCAACAGAGAAAAATCATACTCGAGAAACTTGTTTTGATATATCTGTGGCTAGTGAAATTATGGCCATCCTGGCATTAGCAAAAGATGCTAAAAATTTAAAAGAAAGACTATCTAATATTGTTGTTGCACAAGATAGAAAAGGTAATGATGTTACTGCAGATGACTTGGGTATGACTGGCGCAATGGCTGTGCTTTTGAAGGATGCTATTGATCCTACATTGATGCAAACCCTTGAGGGAACACCTGTTTTGGTGCACGCTGGTCCATTTGCAAACATAGCTCATGGGGCATCTTCCATTTTGGCAGATTTGTTAGCTTCTAAATTAGTCGGCCCTGATGGCTACGTTGTAACTGAAGCAGGTTTTGGATCAGATATTGGTAAACTTATTATAAAATTAACAAGCGCAATATACTGTTATTTGTAAGAAATCATTATAATTCATGAAATTTTGGTAGGAATGGAGAAGTTCTTCAATATTAAATGTAGATATTCTGGTCTTGTGCCAAATGCTATAGTACTAGTGTGCACTATTAGGGCCTTAAGAATGCATGGTGGTGGAGCTATCAGTCCCAGTAAGTCAGTAACACCAGAAGAAAATGAAGTAATTGAGTTAAATTATGAATTTTTTTAAAAAAGTTTTACTAATTTATTTTTATTGTAGGAAGCATTGCGCAAGGGTGTAGCAAACTTGAAAAAACATGTTAGTAATGGTGTCAAATATGGTGTTCCTATAGTTGTGGCAATAAATGCTATGAATACAGATACTGAGAATGAATGGGCTATTGTTAAAGATGCAAGTCTCCAGGCTGGTGCAATGGATGCAATTGTGAGCACTCACTGGGAAAACGGTGGGTTAGGAGCAATCAAATTAGCAGAAGCTGTCATTAAAGCAAGTCAATTACCCAATAAATTCAAGTAATATAAATTATAGTGTTTGGTGTCTAGTAAAATGTTTCTTATGTAAATTTTTTTTTTTTTTTTTAGGTTTTTGTATGATTTGAATATGCCATTGCAGCTTAAGATTGAAACTATTGCAAAAGAAATGTATGGTGCCAAATCTGTTGAATTTAATGAAAAAATATTGAACAAATTAAGCAATTATGAATCAAAGGTAAAAATACTTCATATTCATTGTATATAATATTACATTTTTGATTCTTAACTTAAAAAAAACAATCTAATTGTTCCTAAAATTCAAAATACTGATTTAAAAGTTATCTCTAATAGTAAATAATTACTTTATTAATAAATATTTTACACCTTAAATCTATTGATAATTTATGTATTTGATTTTTTGTTGTGAATAATGAAAAAAAAATAATATGTAATCAATACATTTTGTATGAATAATTTCTTTATGAAATTTATAGGGTTATGGGAAGTTACCAGTTTGCATGGCCAAGACAGCAGTGTCATTGAGCGGAAATCCTAACTTAAAAGGGGTTCCTACAGACTTCACACTTCCCATAATGGATATTTATGTATCTGCTGGCGCTGGATTTATCGTTGCAATAGCTGGAGAAGTAATTATAAATTATAAACCAAGGGAAAATTAATGATATTAAATATTAATATATGTATTTTTTATAAAATTTAGATATCTAAGATGCCTGGATTGTCAACTCGTCCAAGTATTTACGATATAGACTTGAACATTGAAACTGGTGAAATTGTCGGCCTGTTTTAGTCTTCTATAAAAAAAAAAAGCAATAAAAATGAATTTGTGCCATAAAAATATTAAAAAAAATAAGTTTTAATAATCATCATATGTTTACCATTTCTTTTATATTATTTAGGAATTTAAATTGTATGCATATGCTATGATGTATTTAGTATACTGCATTGGTTGAATTTTTCATAAAATGCTGTTGTTTTAATTTTTTGTACTTCATATTGAATATATTAGGTATAGAATTTTCCATATTTTATCTAAATGTTATTTTTATAACACCTGATTTATTATTCAATTAAAAATATAATGTTTCATACATTTTACATATTATGTATAAATTTAAACTGTTTATTCATTGCTTGCCTATCTTATTTGAAGTATGGCCTTTTTTAGATGTACATAAACTCATTAATCTTACAAAAAACCCTTATGAATTTGATGTGATCAGTATTTAAATTCATTAATTTCTTGTTATGATCAAGGATAAGTTATTTTTCTGATTGCTATAATTTCTTTTTTTTCTCGCAACTATTTGAGGTGGACACCCTTGTCTTAATCTTCTACTCGTCTTGTTTTTCTATACTCCCTACGCACACCAACAGCCCTTGTATTCTCAATTGTATTCAATCATCTCATTTTTAGTCTACCTCTTCCTCTTTTTCCTTCAACGTTCCTTTTCATAACAACTTTTACTGCATTTATTTCCTCTCATCTCATCACATACACAATCCATCTTAGTCTTCTGTCTCATCTTGTTTACTAAAGGCGCTTCATCAATACTACCTCTCACATATTTGTTCATTATTCTATCTATTCTTGTCATTCCACTCATTATTTTAAGCATTTTTATTTCCCAATATTCATACTCTGTTATATTCTTCTGTAAAATTTACCTTAATATAATTAATAATAGTAATAAAATGTCTGACGTTTCTTTTCATTTCATCCAATCGTACTTAATCATATGTTTTACATCCATGCCAAAACCCCATCTTTTCTGATTGCTATATTTTAAATTAAATATTTTTTTTGTTAATTTGTTTAAAATAATTTTTATTTATAAATGGAATTTCTTGAATTCAATTTTTGTTCCAATCAAATAATTTTGAAAATATTGGTGCAAGATTTGTAAAGAATTTCTATAGATTAACTGCTGGGACAAAAGTCCAAGAGCTTTTTCTATATAAGTGTATCTTTCCTATTGAATCACCTGATTGCATTGTATTTATTACTATTTTCTGTTTCCTTAATGATTACATTAATTAAGCCTTAATCTAATTTTGACTATTAACAACTGATTGATTACAATTACATAATGCGCATAAAAATATACAACAGTTTAAAAATAAAATACTAAATTATATTTATTAGTTTATATTATTATAAAATTACTAAAGAAAAATGATCTATTTGATTCGAATAGCTGCTCTGAGACGTGCTGATCTACTTCTAGGATTGATTTCAACTTCTTCAACACTTGGAGTGATTACATGCTTATGAATCTGATGCCAACAAGTAAGATTCATTGTGTCCATGAAATCTTTATCGTAAATCTGCATAGGATTGACATACTTCAAAGGTAGAGTGTTGGCTGTGTTTTCATTAACGTTTCCCTGTATATGACGTTTAACAATAGTGTCTTCAAGCGAATGAAAAGCAAGAGTAACCATTATCCCACCCAGTTTCAAATAATGTCTTGCCAACACTATACCATGGTTAATCTCATTTAATTCATTGTTAACAAATATACGTAATGCTTGGAACACTTTGGTGGCAGGATGTGCTGGTCTCTGTAACATATCACTTCTCATCTCATTTCCGCATATGTTTTGAACCAATTCACAAAAATCATGCGTAGTTTTAAATTCTTTAAATAAATACCTAAAATTATAAGTATAATTAGATTTTATAAGTGTATGACAAATGTCAAAAGATTTTAAATATATAAACATTTAAATATTTTATACTTAAGTAAAAAGAAAAGTTGAAAAATTATACATTTTTCTGATATTTTAAACATTTAAAATTGAAAAACTTGAACACTAAATTAATATCAAAATTAAAATATGCAACAAGCTATAATAACACTAGTTAATTTACCTTGCTTCAATAACAGCATTTGCAATTTTTTTTGATTGTTTTTCCTCTCCGTATACTTTAAATATTTTATACAGATCAGATTGATCAGCTTTGGCCAACACGTCTGCTGCTGTTATAGTCTGTTCCTCGGGATCCATTCTCATATCCAAAGGGCCATTCTTACTAATAGAAAAACCTCTAGATGGTGTATCAAACTGCATAGAAGATGCACCAAAATCAAATAAAATACCATCGAAACTATTCATTTTTTTGTCTAAATTTTTTAAAAGAATAGGCAAATCACTAAATTTGCCTTTTAAAGGTACCACTCTATTTGGATAACGTTCGGAAAGTTTTTTTGCCATGACAAATGCAGTAGGATCTCTGTCCAAACAATAAACAACTGTTGAATCATTTTCTTGTAAAATCCTTTCTGTATGTCCACCAGCACCAAATGTCATGTCCAAGATGCAATGGTCCTTTTGAGGAGACAGGTAATTAATTGCTTCTTCCAGAAGTACTGGCTGGTGAGGCCTGTTGCTTAGCTGTCGCCTGTAATATTTTATTCTTAATTTGGTTAAAAGTCGACTTAATAACACCTTCATTGTTGTTCTTCAAAATTTCTAATGACTCTTTAGACAAGATTGAAGTGCAATGTTCAACAGTGAGCCCAGTTGCAGAAGATTGTATTGTACGTTTATATTTATTGCAGTAGTGATTATCAGCCAGACGTTTGAGAGAATCGTACTTCTTCATACACTTTATGGTGTCACCGCGAAATGTATCGCCTGCGCTGAAAGCAGTTCCCACTTCTTTACGGATATATTCACCTAAATCCCTAAACAACAAATTAATTTATCACTAAACGAGTGTAGTATGCCTTATAGGTAAGAAGTTGCATGAACTAAATTTCACAGTTCATTTTTAAAACGAACGGCTAACAGACTTCAAACTCTAGTAAATCTGTACTTTTAAATACCTGCCGGGTTTACTAGGATCCAACGGCCATTGTTTCAACAGTTTTAAATAGTTCTTGTAAAGATTGGCCATCTGAAACCTAGTCTTCTTATTTACAACAGTTAACAACGATGTGGATGTATCATTGATAGTATGATCACAGAATATACTGTTTGCGCAAAACTGTGTAATATATTTGATAATTATCAATGTTATCTATTCAGATAAATGATAGTTTTTATACCTCAGTAGCGGTAAATACCGTACCATAATATTGTATTTTAAATTTTTTCCGAGAAGAAATTTTGGGGCTGGTCATAGACCTTATACTGTACTGTAACTCAGAACGGGAGCAATAATGAGATAGATAATCTATATTCAATATTACTATATTAGTATAAAACATGTTCAATATTACTTGTCTTATACTGTTCACATTCGTTAAATATAGTCATTCTTATAAATGATATTTTTATAATACCTGTCCATTATATATATTAATACTAGTAAAATAAAATTTTTATGAAAAAAAAATTTTAAAACATATCTTAATTCGATGCTAGGTCAACAAAGGGTTAATTATTAAAGTGTAATTAATTATTGAAATATTGTATTTGTCCTTTTTATTAGAGTAAACAGCAAAATATAGGATCCGATCCAGAGTGAAACGAACTTACGAGTGACAATCACTTATCTACTTACTCCTAGGAATAACGGTACGTAGTTTTTATTTTGAATAACATCTGTAATTATAACAAAATTGATTAAATTTATGTTTTTTAAGCTTCAAATTAATTTTTTTATATTTAATCCGTTAACTTATTAAACTTAAAGTAATTAAATATTCTCTGTTATGTAAATAATATTTTTCCATTACTTAAATCAATTTTTCACCTTTCTATATTTATTTAAATTATTAATACTCTATGTTTATAAATTAAATTTCAATTTATTTGAATTGATATTTATTTTTTTTTTATTATTAAATATATTTTTGTGTTTCACTTGTATGAGTAATCTCTAGACACCTTTTCATTTTTTTTCTTTTGTTATTAAAGAATTCATTTTTATTAACAATTTATAGTATAATGTTTTATAACATTTATTTATGTTTTTTTAGTACATAAATAATGTTTAAAATTATGACATAATTTATATATTCAGTGGTCTCCAGGCAAAAGGAAACTTTTTTTGGTATACTTCTTTTATAGTGACTGAAAAATATTTAAAAATATAATTTTTACATTATAAAATATATTTTCAATATTTATTCCATATTTCAAATAAAAATACACTGTTGTATTTGTAGATAGTTATATTCTAACATGCGCTATAGAATAATAATTTTAGTAAAAAATCGTTTTGAAACTTAAATGAGGGTGTATAAAAACTTTTTCAATTTTAACAGATCTTAATATTTCATTGGTTAATGTTTTTCATAATTAAAATTAATTGTTATAAATAAAATAATTCACATTTAAATAATATTTTTTGGCGGCATAGTGCGACGGAAGCAGCGATGAGACAATCCATGTTCAATATTACCTGATATATATAATTTATGTCCAATATTTTTATTTTATTTTTATTTATTTTAATTTTAATACGGGCCGCAGCCCAAAGTACAGAAAAATAAAATTTACATATTATAAGTGAATAGTAGACGTAACAATTAAAATAGAAAAAGAAATGAGACAAAAGAAAAGAATTACAAAACTAAACTTAAAAACTAAAAGACGGATCCTCATTAGCAATACGCATCATTCTATTTAGTGGTTTGTTTCGTGAATAATTTGTCGTACACAGCGGAATACTGAAAGGATAGGAAGAACGGACCTGGACACAGGGAATTTTAAAGTTTACTTTGGATAGAAGTTCAGGACAGTTGATCGATCCATTTATGAGTTTGACTAGGAAGACCTTGTAATGGTGATACATCTATCGGCCAAAGGCTGTAAGCCTAGCCTATCTATTACTGCATCATAATCATGAGCATAGGCGTGTTTACGGGAGGGGCCGGGTGGGCCACTGACCCCCCGGCGAGATTTTCCTCCAACAAAACCGTGCCAGGATAAAAAAAAGTAATACGATCTGTACTCATTACCTAGTTTTAGTATAGTGGTAAAATGTACGTATTTTTTTTTGAGTTTTAAATGTATTTTTATTATTCATGTCTAAAAAAAAAAAAAATATAAGTCTTATAATTTAAATATTTTTGTACCCCCTCGGCCACCAAAGTCTGAACACGCCTATGATGATAATTTATTTTGCTCTTGGAAAAATCAACAGTTACGAAAAATGTTACTTCCCCCTCACATTTTTATTGTATTTATTTTATGCACCATATCTAATTGTTTGATTTTACATAAGTCTTTTAACTCATTTTATGGTTTAGATAAACATAAATTGTAGGTAGTATGTACTAGGTACCAATATTGTTAACTAATATCCATAAGAGTTCATTAATAAAAGGTGCTATTTGAACTGTTGGATTATCTGAGGGGGGGGGGGTCGCTTTTTGTTGAAATGACGCAATATCGTGATTAAAACCGATTTATAATAATCTCTCATGATTGTTCGGCCTTGGAGGACAGTGTGTTATTTGACACCATACACGGTAATTAATGATTCATATACATTTTTTCGGTTCTTTCCAAGTTTCACTAAAAATTTCAAGTTACTACGTTTCTCTGACTATTCTATACTGGAAATGGTAGTCGAATATCTAACACACGTTATAAACATTGACACACTTGATCACACACGTCCACTCACTGCACCGATCGACTTGTAACTCGGCATGTAGATAGATAAGATAATGGAATATACATAGTATGCATTATGAGCAGCTTTTACAACAAATTTTTCCTCAGCATCATTATTATCATTACTTTTTGAACAGCATACGTGTTTATTTACTCGGATTAATTGGGCGTCAACTTGTAGTCGTACTGACTGCAAATAATTGACCAGGATTTGGTATTAGCATTGATTATAGAATTCTATTCTATAATCAATGCTACTACCAATGTTATTATTATGTTATTATATTCAATATTGTACATATATAGTATATATTAGTTAGTAATTATATCTTATTAATTATTTTATTCTTATTATTCTAATTAATTATCATGTTAAAATTGTTAAAAATTGTATCATTGTAATCATCAATAGATGTAGATAGCCAAGGCTAGGAACATCTTATTTAAAAATACAAAAAAAAAAAAAAATTCAAATATTTCATCCCATGATTCTGCTTCACATAGCATTACAGTATCATCCGCATAACAAATAATTTGACTTTTAAGAGGAAGTTCATGGATACCATTTATTTGTACATTAAAGAAAATTGGTGAAATAACAGTACCTCGAAAGATTCCACATTTAATTTGGTTAAAAAGGCTTAAAGTATTATTTATTTTGACATATTATTTTCTGTTAGTTAAATATGAAGAAAATAATTTTAGATTACCACCACAAATGCCTATTTGGTTTAATTTAGTTATAAGAATGTTGTGATCAATAGTATCAAAGGCTTTTGCTAAATCTAGATAAAATGTGGCACATTTTTTATTATCATCTAAAGATTTGTAAATGAAATTAGTTATTTTTGCTATTGCTTGATCAGTTCCTTTGCCCGGACGAAAACCATATTGAAAAAAATATAAAATATTGTTATTTTCTAAAAAATTAAATAAATTTTTTTTAATAATTTTCTCAAATATTTTTGCAATGTTAGAGATTATAGATATGGGCCGAAAATTATTTATTAAATTGGAATTTCTTTTTTTATGGATTGGTGTTACTATGGATAATTTATTTTATTTTTTTTAAATTTTTTTTTCAGTGTCAACTACCTTCGCGCATGACTACATTGTTTTTATTCCAATAGTACCTGTTGAGATCATGGGGTGTACATTCCATGTCTGGGTCCCGATCAACAGGCTCAAATAAGCGGCTGATCGGGTTCCAAGAATACAGTATGGCTGGTTATTATATTTACAATTATGCAAGGGGTAGTCGATGGCAATAATCGGAACTCAAATAATTTTCGTCAGTATGGCAACGCGGACCCGGACCTCGTCGATCAAATAATCGGAGGTCGGTTGGAATTTGGTGGCCCAAACAAAGGCCGTTTTAATTTATATGTCCATTAGATATCTAACTTTGACAGGTATTCAATGTTGTTGTCCAGTGGCGGCCTGGGCACACATTACTTGGTCGGCTAAATAAAAAAGGGGTCCTCCATTTAGGTACAATTAGAAACACATAACATATTTTTTTAATACGTTTATTATAAAAATTGCCTTCTTGGCTATACTAACAAGTTAAATAATTAAAATACATTTATGAAATTTTAACACTCGAAAATTAATTAATAATTAATAATAAATAATAAACGAATTATGAATATAGATGATTAATATACAAGCAATTTTTTTAATTCTGTCGATGAATGTGCATAACAACTTATTATTTCTTCTAAATCAGGAACTTTATCACTTTCAATGCTAATAA